AATTAGCTAAGTTTCTCAAATATTTTGGCAGACCCATGTAAAATGTCTATTTACTGACTGGACGTCAGATGCTGGTAGTAATCCTGCTATAAATTGCCAATAAATAATCCTTTCTAAATTTCTAATTGTTTATTTGAGATTCTTAGCGGGAAATTGCCATCAATACATCTAGCTTTCAGTGAAACGAGTGAGCTTCAATTATATTGATCCGATTGATTGAGAGCATCAGTCACTTATTTGACCCGATATGAACAGAAGGGTCTTGCTGCTGTTCTCCGTCCACCGAGGTTAACAATACTCACAGACTTTTCTAAAGAGGCTTTCTGTCGAAATACAGCTCTGTGCATAAGTATAGCCGCAATAACCCATACAGGGTTGAAAATTTATAGGTTTTTTTTTAATATATTTCATAATACTCGAATTGTTTCTTTTGGCTGATAGGCATGCACAGATACATGCAACATGCATGTTGCACGATTCAATTCGTTCACTATCAAACTGACAAATCCTATTATTATTTCATTGACTGATAACGTTACGGCACTGTAATCGTGCTTAAATCATCAAATAAATAGAAAACCATATATATTTAATGCCAGACAGCAACTACCCTCCTACCGCTCCGTTGGTCAACATCCCCAGGAAAGCTAAATGTGGACAACCGCTTGCCTAGTTTCGTCGGCTTTTTTAAACAAATGCCAATGACTTTTAGGCGTAATGAATCGGTTTTCATAGTGGGGGCCAGCTGAGTCACACTTTGTTTGTTGTCAGTTGCTTGTCGGGGTGGGCGTACGGCGACGATACGATGAAACGATCCGATCTTCAGACGATGGCATCTGCTACCGCGTTAGCTGCAGCCGCTAATGTTACTGCTATCGTCGACGATGGTAGAGTTATGCAAGCCAAAACTTTGTTCTCTGGCAAACGCTGAACTTTAGCGATACGTTGGTTGATGATGATGATGATAGTGTACGTACCACTATTAGATTCCGTGCAGACCTCGTCCCATTCACAAGACGAAGACATTTGAACAGATAGCCAGCGCATTTAAGCACTAAAAAAAATGAAGAGTGTCTGGCGTTCTCAAATAAGTAGTAGCCTTGGATATGCCGATGATAGCCCTAGCCGGTACGACCGTATGATGTAGTAGGGGGTTTACTAAAATAGAACTTCGTCTGGTACCAGATTTTCTCTGCGTGCGGATTGCCATTACGATTGCCACACAGTGAATAGCGGATAGAAAGATGAGGCTCATATTGAAATTGTTCTCCTGATAAATAGATCAATATACTGTATGACAAAATGGAGAAAGTTAATAGAAATATAATATATATTTCGAAGCAATCGCTCTATGTGATCATTAAAGAAATAGACATTTATGGCCAGCATTGCTTTGGGAGCGACTAATTTACGCAAAGGTGAGATCTATGCTTTACAGTTAGTTAGCATAAGAAGCAAGTGTGCCTCAGATACATGTGCTATAAACGAGCATAATCCCTCTTTAGCTTCTTATGTAGGTCTAACCAAGCAATAGTGGTTCTGGGGATTCGATGCAGACAAATCTGAATAACTATCAATTTTTTTTTTACAGCAAAGTGAGATAAACAAAGTTCTTCATGAACATTCTCCGCACCGAAGAAAGTGATATCCCTTACTCATATTGGAAAAAGATCCCATATCTGGAGTACCCCCGGGCTCGTCTCCTCTACCAATGTATTATGAATAGAAAAAAACAGTAAACTGATTAAGAGCAACTGCGGCTGGGCAGATGGCGGGAGTTTTCTGATTAGAATAAGAGAGTGGAGAAATTATATGAACTTACCTATACTCTTTATCAACGAACGAATAATTTAGGGACTGCAAGCTTGTATAAAAAGCTGCTGGTTCTATTTTTAGCTACGTTTAGCACTATATCACACAATTTATCTATCTAGAAATTATCTGTCTATTTAGAAATTTGTTTTATCTCTCACAGTCGTAGCGAGCTGACCATACTGTGTGAGATACCCCTAGGGCTGAAAACTTTTGAATACGAAGCTTTCGAACTAATTTAATTTTTATTACTGAGAGGTGTTGTTGCATTGAAGCTATAGTAAAAAGCAATTTCGAGTAGCTTTTCTACATACTTTTTCAGGATTCAATTTAAATATGCTTCTCCAGTGCGGACTTACGACAAAACGAAAGTATATCGTTCATTCTGGTAAAAATCGTTGCTTCGAAATCTCGTTGCTGTTTCTTAGAGATGTGTCACCGATTTTTAACAATGACTTCAATGGCTAAGTGGGGAGTTTTTCGTTTCGCTAGAGAAATAACAACAGCGTCCAGCAGACGCGTATCGCACACGTCCCTTCAGCTTCCGCCATATGCGTTAATACATAGACAATTGATCGTTCCCACAGCGGGCTAAATGGCTTGAGTGTATTCTATAACAACATTACCAATGAACTTTATTATGTTATTATAAGCATAATCCCGATGTGATGCTGTCATTATCAGCAATGCTGTGCACTGTAACTATGGCCATAGCTACTGGGATCCTTTATCTGGTTGTACCAGGTTCAATCGATTGTCGTCTTGTTATGTCGATATGTTAGTAAGTATAGCATCTTTTCACGTGTTTATATTTGTTGTATGTGGCTGAGATCTTCTGAGTGCCGCTGCTGCCAGTTGTGTGCCTGCAGCAGCAGTTGCTGCTGTTACTAGGGTCGTTTCGACGCTGTCGGCGTCACGACGTTAACGTTTGCTTTGTCGTCACCGACGTCGCCGTCAGTGTGGAAATCAACTTCAAGAAACCTTGCTCCACTTCTGCCCACTTCTGTCACTACCGTAACAGCTACGGCTACTATCAAATATCAACACGACGCAACAAGCCAGTATCCCGCAAAGCGTCGTTACGTTGCCGCTATTACGCTTATTACGTTTACAGCTTCTTCTGCTCGTTCTGCCGCTGTGGGCAGCCACTGACGCAGTTCGTATGCCCCCCGCTTCTAGCGTCTGAGGCGAACGTATCGCTCCAGCAGCTGCGTTTACCACCGTTGGTCGCTGCTTTAAATTTTGCCGCTAACATAGAAGACCTTACATATATATATATTAGTTTGTTGTCATTGTTGTTGTTGTTGTTGTCAAACAACTACTACTACTACTACTATCTGTCATATTAAAACTTCTGTTCAGAATCAACTTAGGCCAGCCGTTTGGCTCCGAGCTATTGTCCGTTTTGCGTCGACGACGCGGTTTTTCGCGCGAATCATTCTTACCATCGCTTCCGATCCAGGAATTAATTAACGCGAACAGGAGTTGCCCACCAACACATACCTCTATAATACATACGTACGTTCGAGCATTCAGTACTCTACAATATGCCATAGCAGATGGATGCTTCTAGTCGCTCGGGCGATTAATCGAATAGGGCAGACTTGTGTTTTTTCTTTTTTACAAAATCACTGATTACTACCGGCAGCAGCCGCTGTAGGAAAGACAGCGGAAGCCAAAAAAACGCTGAGTCTGCTGATCAACCGCTAATAAAAACACTGAACGAAATCAAACGTACATAGTGTCTTTTTAAGCGATTCTTTCTCTGGCAGACGTTAGCATTGAACCCTAAAGGTTCATTACTTTATTCATGAAGCCAGCCTACGTCAGCCGATAACGATTTGGTACACGTACAAAGACTTACTGATTTAAAATATGTAGACAATTCAAAAGGTACTATGATCTGCTAAAATTGGCACATTTGTTAGAATATATCAGAAAAACTTCAATCAGATACACATCGGCGGCGTAAAAGCCACAACCATTTTAAAACAAGTTCTCCCTTTCGCTGAATTGTCTCGTCTGTTCGTTCACACAAAAATATAGGGGGATGAACAGAGCGTGGAGATCGAGTGAGCCATGTAATAAATGTGACTAGAATCAAGGATCAGCGCAATACGTATGTTTGATTTCCAAGAAATCTATTTTGAACTTGAAGCGGACATATTATATACATTATCGAATCTGCCTTATAGCCATAGCTGTAGTAACAGTCGAGAAATACTCTCAAGTCCGCCGCTAAAATGAAAGCCTCATTATGCCTACGCGTATTTTACATATAGTTGCAAATGTATATCATTTGTATAAACGACGGCATGCGACCACTGGTTCGCCTTGATCTAACCGGGTTTTTGTTAGTCACTGAAAAATTACAAAGGATTTTTTGCTAATTCGTGTGTCTGCCTGCCTGCCTGCAATCGATCCCCGGTGATAACTCATGCTGATTTTTCTCGTATCGTAACGCCAGCCTCGTAAAATCGGTCGTCGACTGTTTCGTAGTGACGGAATATTATGGTTGTGACGTATCATAGCGGATGCATCGACGCCATTTATCTTCCCTATTTATTAAGCAATTGATGACCGAAGAGTTATACACCTATACGGGCTGAAATTTAGCCTGTAGCACAAATTGTACAACCATTATTACAATATGCTTGTTATTACTAAATTGTCGAAACACGAGCAAACGATGCGCAACTCGCTCTCCTGGGCTGAACAACGTCACCGTGCGAAAGGCAAGAAACGAAAAAGTTCACGAAACGAGGCGACTAAAGGGTGCGGGCTTTGCGTTCACGACCAACGAGACACAAATCTGAATCATTCATTATACTGCTATAAAACGTGTTGTACCAAATTTCAATTCCAAATAGTCAACCGATTCCTGCTACCAGTCTGTAGGGTCGAGCAGTTAGTAAAGTACATTTATAAAGTTTATCATTCTGAAATATCAGGGCCATCTTGAGCATCGTTTCTGAACAATATATATATATATATATATATATATATATATATATATGGCCATCTCTCGCACGGACAACAAACGGAATTCTCTGTGCGTACTCTGTGCGTGAAAAACAAACACAAATGCTTCTCGATTTTTCTTACGTGTGTCACGTTGATACATAGAAGTTTCGATAAAATAGTTAATTGACTTGTGCTATAATAAATTATACAATTTTGCTCCACAGGAATCGGGATGGATGATACGTTCGTGTTGCTTGCGGCATGGCGACGGACCGATCCCAAAAAATCGGTGGTCGAACGAATGGGAGAAACCTATAGCGAGGCTGCAGTGTCCATCACCATTACATCGCTAACTAATTTTATCAGCTTCATTATCGGTCCGTATCGGTTAATTGAACACTCCAAATACGGGGGAAGTCCGGAGGAATGACACCAATATCAACTGTACACAATCAAGCCTAAAATGATGAATATCTTATGAATCATTTTTTGTTTCCTATATTTAGGCTAACCGGATATACACCTCAGTGTTAGTGTTATTTGATTGTAAATACGTAGGAAGTATTGAGAATTGCTGTTGTTTATTGAGCGGAACAAAGCTTCTTGATGAACTTCTTTGTTGAAAGGTTTAATTTAGATTATAGATGCCTTTTTCTCACTAACGCTAAAAATCAAAATATTTATTTTTCGAGATTATCCCAAGTACCAATTTTCATTAACCAGCCATGACAGATTTTCAGTATTCTAGGGTGCGTATTAGTATCAAACATTTCTGAAATCGTAAGTACACGAAATCTGCGACGACTTTGCTTTATTACCTCTCTACGTAATTTGAACACAGAGTAACAATACCAACACAACCTTCTTTCCTAAAGTGTCTGTCTCTAGTCGAAACTCAGGCGCATGCCCACTACAAGAATAGATTTTTACTCTTAGTCCTTTTTCCTTGATTCTACAGGCGCAATTACGCCATTTCCGTCCGTGAGGATTTTCTGCGTCTACACGGCTGTTTGCGTGCTATTTACGTACATATACCAGGTGACTTTTTTCGGCGCATGCATGGCCATTGCTGGGTACGCTGAACGACGGAATCTCCACGGTCTTTTCTGTTTTCCGACCCTACCGAGATCACTGGCAAAAGATAAGCCTTTGTGGTTTAAGGTGTTATGTAGTGGCGGTCTCAACCCCAACGATCCCAAGAATCCGAAAGACAATCAGGAGCATATCCTGATGGTGTTCTTTCGGGATACCTGGGGAGCGGTCCTTAGCAAAGGTTATGTCAAGGTCATGGTGATAGCCTGTTTCCTTGTCTATATCGCATTCGGTATTGCTGGATGTTGTCAGCTTAAGGAAGGTCTTGAAAGGTGCGAAACATTTAACTAATACTTGTGATATCAGAATAGATCATCATATGTAGACCTGTTTCTCAGGATAGCTTTAACGTACAGATAACGTACTCCACAGATGGACTTATATGATCCAGGGCAAAATCACTCGCTCTATGCATTACGCATACAGGATGCGGAAAACGTTATCGAGGGTTTATTAAACAGGATGTGAAAGGAACATATTGATTTTTATTAGGCAAAATTAGGCAAATATCGTCACACGAAATTCAAGATCAAATGGTTTCTGTCGAAAGCAGCTATTGTAAACTGTTTAGTATCAGACCTAATATACGCCCAAAGCTTTCCGACAAGTCGCCTTGCTAGCTAGAGAAATTAATCTAAAATCCCACTCTGAATACTACTGTCATATTTCAGATATAAGCTTGCAACGGATTATAGCTACGCGAAGACCTTCTTTAATATTGACGATAAATTCTTCCGGAAATATCCTTATCGGGTCCAGATATTCACGAATGTCACACTCGACTACTGGAACCCAGAGACGCACGAACATCTGATGGATATGTTGGATGAATTCGAAAGTAGTGCCTACATTGGCAATACGGAACTGACCGAATGCTGGTTCCGCGAGTTTCGCCGCCAGGCCGAAAATAATCAGCAGGCGCAGGTGTTCCTCGGTTCATTCGACCTGAACGTTAAGGAAGACTATATCAAAGCACTGCGGCACATGCTCAAAGTGGAGCCGTTCTCAACGTTTAAGCGTGATATTAAATTCAATGACGATTTCACCGAAATCATCGCGTCACGCTGCATCATTCAGGCGACAGATATCCGGAATGCTAACGATGAAAAGGAAATGGTTCTCGACCTTCGTCGAATCGCGGAGAACTTTCCGGAACTCAATCTGTCCGTCTACCACACGCTATTCATCTTCTTTGACCAATTCATTCTGGTACGAAGCACCAGCTTGCAGAACATAATCGTCGCTGCCCTGGTCATGGTCGTCGTCGCTATAATTTTTATACCAAATCTGTCATGCGCGTTTTGGGTGTGTTTCTCGATGGCGTCAATCGAGATTGGCGTGCTCGGCTATATGACCTGGTGGAACGTAAATCTCGATTCGATTTCGATGGTGAACCTCATCATGTGCATAGGATTTTCGGTCGATTATTCAGCACACATATCATACGCCTATCTCACGGCTTCTGAACGAGACCCAAATGCGAAAATGCGCGAAGCCCTCCACAGTCTCGGAATGCCAATCTTCCAGGGATCTATTTCTACGGTATTAGGTATTATTGTTCTGGCGTTCGCGCCTAGTTACATCTTCCTTACGTTCTTCAAGACTGTGTTCCTGGTGATTGTGTTCGGGGCACTGCACGGCGTCGTCCTGCTACCCGTCCTTCTTTCGCTCACCGACGGAATCTGTAAGAAGACGAGCCAGAAGGCCACATTCGGCCTTGACGGCGAATCACACGCGCCCGAAAATGGTCACGTGGCTTTCATCTACGGCAGCTCACCGCCACAGGGTCATCAGTTGTACAAGCCCACGTTTGACAGCATAGTCCACTTCGAAGCTGGTAAAGCCGGTGCCAATGGTCAGGAGTACTTTTCGCCCTACAGTTCGCCGAACGGCACCTACCTAAACAAGGGCCTTGTCCTTGAGGGTGACGAGGGTTCGCTACGACTTGGCACCCTGGTAGGCAACGGTGAGCTTGTGGCCGAAGGTGGCGGCAAAGAGAAGCTCAATCCTGCTTATCTTGAAGAGGAAGAAGACAAAGAAGAGGCCGCCTCGCAAAAGTCCTCCGACAGCGGGCTGGCCGACACCGTGGAGTACCGCGAGCAGAACAAGGAATCTCAGTCAAACAAACAAATGTATCATATATAGATAAGCACATGCCCTAAAAGCAAATCAGAAAGTAATGATTAATATTAGAAATAATGATACAAATAATAAATAACAATATTGTAATGTTTGTAACGAAAGTAACAAAAACATCAACAATATACGGAAATGCATATTTCAAAATACACAGATAGCAGTAGTAAAGGGTGGAAAAAATCGCCCAACGTACAAAAAAATAGACACAAGAAATTGATGAAGTTAGTGTAAACTGATTATAATGATTGTGTGGTGAAATCGATAAAGAAAAAGGGAAAAGGTTGTTGTACGAAGCATGAGAGGCTAAGACAAGTTGAAGTGTGATGCGTGACTTCATTGCAGAACCGGGAGACAAGGCCGTACTTAAAATGGCATGCCACGCACCATTTAACTAACCGTTATGGTTGAAATGTGTGAAGCTAGTTACAAATATAGCGACTCTAGACTGCATCATTGTCTTATAGTGTTGTGCCGTTAAAAGCTCTTCTATTGTTTACTGAAAGTGCGCAGATTGTTGAACTAGTCTAAATATTATCGCCACTCATTTAGTATATATTATTCGTTTGGTCCCACATCGAAGCACTGAAGTGCTGCCCGAGCATTTTCCGTGCGCGAACGAACCTGAGACGTCACTGGTAGGACAGATACATGGCCATAACATACGACGTGATCAAATAGGGAGAGCACCAAATAGAGATAACCCAGTAAAAAATGTTATTTAATAGTAGTAGTTAACTGCCTCGTCGCTACCCTGTCTCATGTAAGATGACTAAAATGGAAATCAATTAATATTTAGTGCTAGTAATATCTATTCGTCGGTATGTTGGAATACAGTCCAAGGCATCTGAGCCTTATTTCAGTGTTACTTTCGACTTGTTTCATAATGTAATCTGCAATACCTTATTTACTTGTCCAATCCGTCGAGACACCGCGTCGCGCTTGCATGGCCGCGCTTTGAAAAGATCAGACGTCATTCATCAGTATCAGGAATAGCCCTTCTTCGAGGAAAAAGATGTAATCCTGCAGGTACAATGAAATCATGGTTCATATATATACTACAAAGACAACATGACATATAACTTTTTCCGTAGCACCTCGATGTTAGACAAAGATACACCATTAATAGAAAGAAACATGTATGCCTTTTCTGAGGTATAATGTGTACAAAAGAAAATCATGGCTGTACATAGAATGATCCTTAAGGAAGACTAATTATAGGAGAGGAAACAATAGCACGTAAGCTGCACTGAGAGATAGTAAAGTTAGGCGAATTCAGCCGTAGATAGTCGGATACAAAAGAAAGGTAAAACAAAGTAATTGAATGGAGCACCGGTACGTGTCAGAATTAGCTATATTATAACGCCTTCTACTATGGTCGAATTTTGTTGCCAGCCTGAATTGTTTTTTGAAATCCTGTGCGCATGGCAGTGGATTTGATCTTGGTGGAAATTCGGGCGCTTCGCGAACAGTATTAGCTTCGCATGGGCACGTTATTGTGTGTACGATGGACTGTGGCTGGTGGTCTGCTTCAAAATTTAGTTCCCGCGAAAAAGGTCGTTTTTCGCGGACGCCATACAAATGACCCACCATCAAATTGGGCTCGTTCGACGCTAACTAGATAGAGAGTATCAAAAAGTAAAGTAATGATAATAATAATAATATAATGTAAGTGCAAGGAAACAGAAAGGAAAGAATTACAGATAGCTAAAACATATGGGCTACAAGATAATAATGTACGAAGTGGTCGAGGTGATGAGGATCGGAGAAGCGTGATTTTCTTTGCCAATACTCTGAAGGTCAGACGATGCTGATATAGTGGAAGGTCAGTTGTGTAATATTATTTAATTATTATTAAAATTATTATTACAGTAATAGGAACAATGGGAGAATGTTGCATCGATATTGATTATAATGATGATGATAATGATTATAATCAAATGTATTTATTGAGCGCAATAACGCACGTTGGCGTTCAAGGGCATAAGTGAAAAGGTAGCGAAACAAGATAGACAACATTCAAATCAGTATGATGTTAACGTGAAGAACAGCGAAGACATAGAACGTTAACACGTTTAGGTGAATTTATAGATTGTCTCTCGAAAAAACAAAGGAATGTTAAAGAAACAAAATAAACTATCCCTCGATGTATCAGGAAGCGTTTTTTTTCTTTGTCTATATTATATCGACGGCTGCTAGTGAGTAGATAGATATTTTCACAGCTTCGGACGTAAAACACGAGGACTATAGTGCTTCTATGCTTACTACACACGGTCAAAGATCATTGCGCGTAAGACAATTTCCAACTTTACCTGTGAGACCGTGTTTCCATCCAACGTTGTCAATGACTTTCTGCTTCACCATGGAAGGATAAGTAGGTAGGTTAAAAAAAATAGTTGAGGTACAAACGTTTCAATCAAATAAAAGATTACTTTGTTTTTTCGTCAAAACGTTGTACTAAAAACTAGTAAAACTAATTGTAATATTCGAAACTAATCCTCGAGCATGGCGCAATGAGATCTTTTTACCGCGCCCTTTGTGGCCAAATCACTCCACACAAAAAAATAGCTCGTCATGTGTCATAATATGATATTGTCATAATAACCTCAAAGTCTTGTATATTTTGAATGGTTTAATATAAGGATCTCGGTTATGATTACCTTCAAAATCTAGGTATTTCTTACAACGTCTCTGCAACGGAATGTTTATAGGTTAAGCCTAGCGAGGTTAGGCCTTATATATGTATATATAAATGCGATCCCATTCCAGATTTTTGTTATGATTACGTGTTTTCCATACCGTGAGTGAGCAATACAAGGCCAACGATATAACTGTTCTCTCAACAGATAACATCAGTATCTGATAAAGTAAGATTCTGTCCATTCGTTTTGTATGCGATCAACTATATACCCCATAAAGTCAACCCATAATTATCCTATACAGCGTTGTTTAATGGCTATCTACAGAAATATTTATCGATTAGCAAGAGTGATCAAATCGTTTCATTGTATTGCTTAGTTTCCTGCAAAAGATAAATGATTTATTTTTCGATGTCTTGGGTACCTATATTGCATCTCCTATATAGGTCTATGAATAACGGTCATGTGACATGCAGATATGAGTTTCAATGGAAACCATCAAAAACCCGTTAGTACGTACAAGATACAACTGCTGTTATCGTAGGAGGTAATTACGGCAAGGCAAATTCTATTGTGAGCTCCATCCTCGTGGGGGTAAAACACGCCAAAGGAGGTGGCGCCCCCACCTGGCCGTTTGTACAATTGACGGGGTCCGGCCGCTCAACGAAGCAGCAACTGATTGTGACGTCACAGGACAACACTGGGGCTGGCTCCCGGTCGGCAGCACACGAAACACCCGGCGGCTCTTTGCGGTTCCTGTGCGCAGCGCCAAAAGCATGAAGCATCGCGCACAGGTTGCCTCAAACAATAAATGCTATGGCACGGCTGATAGTGGATCATGGAGCAAGTCGGCGATGCTATCCGGCATTCACCGGAGCAGGTGCAATGAATTCCCATAGGACACGACAAATTCGAACGGCTTATGCACGCTAAACTTATGCCACACAAATGGTCATTGGCTTTCTAAGCCAGTGGATAAGAGTTTTCTGCAAACTCATAAACAACATTTTAACTAATAGTCAAATAACGTATTGCAGTCGACAGTAGAAACGATATTGCGTTCGTTGATGGCTCATTCGTCACGAAACACCTTACGGAAGCTACATATATGGATAAGTAAAAGAAAAGCTCGAATCGGGGGCCTACCGATGGAAGCGCCCCCTATAGAGCGACTGTCCGTCGGTCGCTGCTGAGACCGAACCCCGCGGCTTCTCGAGAAGCAGGAATGTTCGCTCTGGAACGGGACCCGTCATGTCTGTGTTGTAATGGTGTAATGTGCAGTAGCGCACGAGCCGTCCATGGACCAGTGTAAAAGTGGCGCCGTGTTAAACGGTTCAACGGTGCTGTGTAAGTGTATGTTTTTGACAGTGTCCAGCAAGAATCAGGCTGGCGGCAGGGCGCGTCCAGCGTCCAGGTACGTTGAAAATATCGTGTGTTAAACACCGCCAACAAACCTGCAGCACTAAGAATAACCACAACTCAATCGAGTCAAATGGAGCTGCATTGGCGCTGTGGGCTGGCGCGCGGTTTGCTTTTCTCAAGCAATATACCATGCCGATTGCGCAATTGACTCTTGAGATTTGCGGCATCTTTTCCGTGCATCGAGTGCCTGTTGGTGACGCGTCAGCATTCAACCTCGACCACATAGCTAGTGTTAGAGACTTCTTGCAATCTTTCTAAGTTTTCGGTCGTCTGGGGGAAGGGTGGGGGTGTTCGAAACAGAGAATGGGCTGCCAGCTGAGAGCTGCGACTGTACCGCTACCCAATGTAATTTGAGTTAATTACCTCTGTTGAGACAGAGCTTTTCCAATAACTTCGACTTGGTTCTTATGTGAACTCGGCGTAGTTCTACCATTCCGTTGAAGTATTCGAGTATTCCAAATCTTACAGGCAATCGATGGGTCTCCAGAATGATGGAAATAGCCAAAATCGAATGGGTATATGGCGAACAACGTGCGCTTATCACACGTAATCGGCGATGACGCGATTTTGCAGAGCATAAATGAAAATGGAAAAAAAGAAGAAATAATCGTTGTTACTTTTTGGCGATTTTTCCTGCAAGGGAAGAGAATCTTATTTCAAATGTTGCTGCAGGCACCTTGCTAATTTATCTATTCACTGCTGGTGAACGAAGGCACTTTCTGTTCTGGTGTTGTTTCAGTCCATACATTCATAGAAAGAATGGGTGGGCTCTTATTTGCGTACATTACGCCGTGTCTCATAGCCAATATTTGCGTAGATATCTGTATTTAAGAAACCGAAAAAGTTATTGAATAGCTATATATTTATGAAACACCAGAACGTCAGTCAAAGGCTGTTCCGATTGGCTATAGATCTTTTACTAATTCTGCAGCAATTGTTCTTAACTAAGGTTTTTTCTCTTCCAGAGCGCCGGCAAGTCTGTCGTGCTGTACTGGGAGACAAAATCATTTCCAAGTCATTTTGCCGAAAATAATCCTTCATGATCTCTTTAGCACTTCGGTTCCCACTGTTTATTAGGTCTTCGCGAACTTATCGGGTCGAGCGGTGTTGAACTAAGCTGCGGGAGTACTATAAAATGTTCAACACAACTTAGAGTTCTCTTTCTCTCTCTGTATGTCTTCTAATCAATGTTAGACCGGTTGACTGTAAATGGGGTCGGGGCCATAACACCGCGGGCCGCACCGTGCTGCCGAAAGTGGGTCATGGATTTTCGGGATCCTCCCTGCTATCGTAATGCTGTTAATGTTATAGCAAACTTGCAGCGTGCTGAAAAGCCGGCAGCTCTCACTCAGAAAAACGGTGTTGCTTGGCAGTAGCAAATCCGTAAAAACAAATGAACATGTTACCGGCGCATATAGCAGCTTAAGTTGCAACTTACGCTAATATCATCTAGCCGATCAGATACGCACTGCCCGATGCCAGCTAGTAATTCTCCGGCGCCAGTCTAAAGCCAGGAACACAGGAGACGTTCACGTATCGCTATGGATCAGGCAAATCAGCCAAACGTGTACATCCCAGTGCCCGACGGAAATGTCGCTGAAGCCTATATCGGACTCGTCATGTTCTGGTCGGGGAGTCACGGCCACAACATCGGGACTTGCCAACATGCCGCCAATAACTACTTTTATTTTCATTGTTGTTAACAGCGTGGCTGTATATCGAAGTGCTTATTCGACTTCCAGTGATAGTCATGGGGAGTGGTGATCGCAGTAGCAGAGTGTACCTTCGGCAGCGTTTGAAAACGACCCCGACTCGCGCGAAGTGTACGCGACGCGACCACTTTCAGGATTCCCTTGACAATACCAGCAAACAGAGGGAAGGAGGCGGCAGCGTCGCCGGCGAGCGTCTGATCCCTATTATGCCTTAGAACGTGAACGTACGCACCCTACCAACGGCTGGAGTTTTGGTACCAAGCATCTTCGTCCCTTTCTCTTCGTCTATTAGCCTGCTTGCGCCAAATGATATGCAATAATCTATGCAGCCGATTCGATTGTATAAGTTAGGAACTGTATACGAATTGTTTGCATCGAAACTGCACTATGAACCAGGCGAATGTAATCTGCAACTACTTCCTGAATATTCCATTTTAAGGACCAATTAATAGCCAGACTTTCTTCGACCAAATTTTCGAGGGTAGTTAAGAAAGTCTACTCGTCATATTGTGTGACTCGTGCGCGCTGACCGCTTGGGTACATTCCTCATTGCGAGATCTACCGAGTTGGGTCATGCATAAGTACTCACTGCTAGGATTGACGTTTTTTTATGTACTATTCTGGCTTATGCCTGCTATATTTTTCTAGAAATTTGCAATGCGATAGATAGACCTGAAAAGTAGAGAGAAGCCCAAAATATAGAAGGATCCTCTCGGAGAGTGGTTTATCACCCGCAACAGTGAATCTACATAATCAGTCTACTTCTTAAAACAAGCATTTGAAATGATTATTATCATCATCGATTGTTGTCGTCTGCGACGTAAAATCCAACAAAAACTAACACAGCATTGAGACTGCTAACTTCGTACGTTCATCACAATGACCCTTATTCGCAGGGTCCGAATGGTGGAAAATAATTTAGATTTGCTTGTTCATTTAGCCCCCCTCCGATGACACGCTACTCAGACAGACTTTCTCAGATACACAACACATCCAACCACATTTCCCTAATACATGAATATCTCAATACACTCATACTCAAGGATACCCTTCCCGTTGCCTTCCCGCGAGAGGAAGCACCGACTTCGCTGTGACGTCAATGCAACGTGTGCTGACGTCAGAGCGCCTCTGGATAGGGCTGTGCGATTCGAACGCCTCTGTTCGGCCGGATGGTCAGGATACAGCTGCTCACGATTAGGAGTTGAATACAAAAATTCTCAGGCTGAAGCGAAAGGGAAAGCTTTGCCTGTACAATAGTAGAGAAGAAGCTTACCTCCTCTGCTACGTTACGTGTGCTAAAAACCTCTCTTTGTAAACATCGTAAATCCGTGCCCAGTCAACCGCATCACTCTTTCTCAAACAACGTTCGGCAACCGTTGAATGAAGAGCGTACTCCATGTACGGGCAGAATGGTGCCGGAATAAGGCGGGCCTCATGCGATCTACGCCATCGTGGTTTGCACGATTTCTGCGTGGCCGCCCGCACCTCCGAAATCCTATCATGTCAATGGCATTCTTAAAACTGGTACTCGGTCACAGCCATCATTAAACAGTGGCATTAATTATAGAAATATATATATTAGTATATACACTCATTGAGGCAGGACAGCCAACGTAGCATAACAACCTAACCTATACCTTTCGACGTCATTGACTACCCCCTGTTTGCGAGAAGACGGCGTTTTGCCTGTGGTTTCGTTTCTTGATAAAAGCACATAGGACATGATACCCTCTATAGCGTTCTTATCTACTGCGTTAAGTTAGATTGCAGTTCGGTAAATAATAATAGTTACTGGTGGTGGAACACGATTATAGCAATGGGACAACGGGCCGGATGCAAGCGACCCGGCAACGACTTATGTTGATATAGATTGGCTTGGTAGCAATAATATGCAATCTAGCCCGGTCAATGAGAATGCCCATATTGCTGGTTCGCTTATTCCCAAAGGGACGCTAGTCACTATACATTTCCGTTTTCTGAACCGCTATGCACTGTGGTCGCCCGTGACCAGCCACGATATGGTACCGTATGATATACTACTTATAGTATGAATCGTGAAGATACTTTGTTGACGTAATGGCTTTCACAAAATGGAGTTTAATCGATCTTTTTTAAATCGTGGCTGAGTCGAGCTATGCTCGAACTTATGCACTAATATACAGCGCGAGATAACTCTTAGTGAGAGATAACAAAATATATAAGCTAATTATCTGTGCGACCTATCTGAGCTACCGCCTATGATCTATTTGGTAATAACAATCTTTTTTGCGGTCAATGCTATTGTATTGCAATATTATTAAATCCTAAATTATCCTAAAGTAATGCTTATTTTCACGAAAACGTTTAGAATCACAAATCGTTTGTTACGGTTATACCGATGGATAGGTTGAACACATCATGTTTAGTAAAAGTAGAAACACATCGTGGTAAGGCGGCAGGCAGAACTAAACACATATAGTCATGCTTTTACATGGCTTAACATAATTAGCAATATTGGCTGCAGGGCTGAACGCTTCACCTCATAATGTCGGTGACGGTATTACGATACACGTAGACCTACACATTGTGTAGATGTCATGGATATGTTGAAAGAAATTTAAATGAACACGTGGGAAGAAGAGAATATAGAGATTAGTGCTATGTCCGCCAGAAGCTCGTCCCGTTCTTGAGGCGGTCTTGCGGCAAATCAGAGTAGAATGGTAAGGGCCTCAGCACTATAACGCCTGATTTCTTGTTACGGCAAAAGCCGCCCAAAACGTCTGACAGATAAAGCGAACGATTCGCAAAGAAAAATGCCCATTCCCTATGCTACCTACAGCATTACCCTACTCATCATTGAGTAAGGGGGTTGATAGAGAATTGCTACGGATTGTAAAGTTCTAATAATAATTAATGGTTTTGTATACCTGGCAAAGATATGACTTATTTATTTTTTAAACTAAACAAACTAAGACATTTAGTTTTAGATTCAAACCCTTTGAACTTGCATTGCATCCTAACTTTCAAACGGATAAAAAACGCGCACGTGGTTTAAATACCTACAGAACAGCTGCGGCAATCTTCATTAATGAGAATAAGAGAATAGAGGAAGTCATTGAAGGTCGTATATCCCGTTGGGCATAAGCGTATTTGAATTGAAACTATAATATTTTGTGAAAAATTACTTCACCTAAATTTTCGCTAAGCCTATGAAGTAACCCGAGTCTTCTGTCCGACTTCGATACTCTCGCCGTACGTTACGTGTGGAATAGAAACGTCTTTTAGTTTGTGAAGAACTCATATTTTTAACGTTTCCGAAAGACTGACTATAACCATGGACGTGCGATATTTTAGAAAGATAACTTCATTTGAAATTAACCCAGAGTAGAATCTTCGCTTCACAAAAAATAATGGCCTATAGTGACACGCAACCGTCTTGCTTAAACAAGTAAGAATTTGAATAGCCAGAGCAAGATATTGCGAACATTATAGTCCTTATATAGGTCGTGTCTACATTCAACTTAATGACTCCCGCGAGTTCGTGCTTTCCACATGTAGAACTACAAACTTATCCACATAATGATATAGACAGCGGCGAAGCAGGTAGTAGTAGCTTTTATCATGTATTTTCATGCATCTAACGTAAACCGACAGTTGGGGAGCCAGCGGGTACATTCCAATACGACGTACGGAGCTGCTTGCTACGTAAAAACTGTTGTTAGTATACGCTGTGGTGACCTCTACAAAAACATCATATAATTTGCTCGATCACTGCGTTACGCCTGCGATTGACAAGATTGATCGAAGCATTTATATATGGTGTACACTGCTACGAAATCTTAACCATCGAAGCCAGCTTCAACGGATGAACACGCCTTCTCAATGATTGTGCTGAAATCCATCTTACCGTTGTGTTTCACAATCTTAATAGGACTTATATGTCGGACTATAAAAGCGAGAAAGTCCTCGCTGTGCTACCGTTTAACTTCTCCGTCCACTACAGTTTCCGGCTAAACTAGAATCTTGATACGAGCATCCTGTTTCGGGCCACTATTAGCTATGTTAAATGTACGACATTTAAATATTTATTATATGTTGTGTATATATATATATATATTTTCGCAATAGCTTTGTGTTAGTATTTATATAGATCACCTGTACGACCTGTCATTAGCATATTCTGAAGTTGATGTACCACTTAGAATTAGGTTGACTCCAATGTGAAAATTTAGAAATGTTGTTTTTGCATAAGTAACTTAGGATAACTTAGAGCAATTGACCCGATTTTCCCGCACTAATTATCTGAATATATAGCAGTTATTTTTGCACACGTCATCTATATGTGCTTCTGTTTATAATATTCCTGTAACTTTACTCGCTCATAGACTCCCTTTTGTTTTCTCTTTTAACTGACTTTTTTTTATTTAACCCGTTATATAGGTGGTGGTGTTTGCGGTGAAATGGTTATCATGGTGGAACGGAAAGGTGCCTGAGCCCGTAGGGGCAAAGAGGGGGCCGGAGCAGACGGGCCCCGAGGCCACGATGCCGGAGGGCCCGGAGCTTTGCAGCGGTGGCGGAGCCGGCGGCGGCGGCGGGAGCGCCGGTAACGGGAATGGCAGCGTTGATGGGGATCTTCGCGCTCGGTGCGTCGCGCTTGAGAAAGCTTACGTACACGAAGTTTACCGTCAGCTGTCTGCTAATAATAACAACATCTCCCAGACGGCTGGCCCCGGCGCTGGTACGATCACTGCGTCAGCACCTGCGCCTAAACTTCTTGCCAATGTGACGGCGTTCCTCAGCGAGCTGGAGCCGACGAGTGTTGTCGCTGACGTCGGCTGCGGACCGGGCAGATACCTATCGTGTAGGCCCGACCTGGCCGTCATCGGCGTCGACGCCTGCTGGGGTATGGCGGAGCAGTGCCGTCAGCGAGCAAGGATGGGCTCGCACGACGCTTTGTGCGCCGATAACCTTCGTTTGCCTCTGCGAGATGAAACATTTGACGCCGTACTGTCCGTTGCAGTTGTCCACCATTTTGCGTCGAAGGAGCGACGGATCGAGGCACTTCGTGAGCTCGCTCGAATTACCCGCATTGGTGGCCGGGTATTGATCACCGTCTGGGCGATGGATAGTTGGCAATCGCAGTCGGATGCCGTGGGTCGCCGTTTTGAGTCGCAAGACATTCTCGTGCCTTATCGACAGCCCTCCATCTGTCCTGCGTGCCATCACAACAGTTCACAGCAACACAGTAATAACTACGTCCAAACCGCCCTACTCAATAATCTAGCTGGTGGGTAATATGCTATATTAATTAATTCTAAGGTGTAGAATATAGGGTAGCGCAAAGGTCTTTTAACAGTTGAAAAAAATCACTATATATATAAATGAGGATTCTAAATTGTCGTCAGTGTGTCATTGATGATACGACACTGAACCTTTCCTATTCATAGGCTCCGCGTACAGTGCAAATGGTAGCTCTACCAGATTGCAGAAGCAGTTACGGAGATCGTGCGCGGTCAGTTATAGCACGGCCACCTCCGAAGACGACTGCCAATCTGAGCGAGATTGCAGCTTCTTCAATAGGCCGAGGTATGATGGTCAAAGCAGGTAAAAGTTGAGACCACAACCACTTACCAAAAATCTATGTTGCGTAAAATTTGTCGATCAATAGCAGTAAAACATAAATTACTAATCATACTAGGACTATTGCAGGCCAAATTTTGTTAATTTCTGTATGGTTTCCACTGAATCGCTGTAACAGTTTTTGCCCTGATCCTTTCTGCTCGTTGACTGTGCTGGCATGTTCCCTTACATAGACTACGCCGGTGGGTGTTCACGCGTGGCCGAAGCCTTGAGGACAGCTGCAGCTCTGATCAATCCAGTCCCTCCGATACGTGTTACACATTCGTTCGCAGGGCAGTACAGCGCCTGTCCTCGGCGTCATCTAGCGAAAGCCGCCGTAGTTACTTTCATAAGGTGTGTCGTCGACCCTGGCTAACGGATTCGACCGATTCCGGCACGGGTATCAACGTCTCACTTTCGTCTGCCGAGCGTATGAGCGAAAGTCCAGATCTTTTTGAGGGTATGGAGCGCAGAAAAAACAGACTAAGGAAAGAGAACTAAAGCAAAATTTCATAAATTGAATACCACTATACTTTGATTAACTTCTAGATTTTCTAGTAACCTGTTAGATTAACAAAATCGAAGGTTATAGATTACACTGATTCGTGTACGAGCCCCATTCGAAGGGGCAAACCCCAAGTTCTAGAAACGCTCGATTAAAAACTGTGAACTTCACTTCTTTGCAAATGACGCATGTGATTTCTTCAATATGTGGCCATTCTTGTTATTGTTGATACATCTTCAGAGGAAGCCCACTCGGAGCGGCACGATGTATCTAAAAGTGAAAGCTTCGATTCGGACGACCTCTGCGAAGATGACGGTTTTATCGAGCTGCGCAACCTTGACCCAGAATCGCCGGAAGAAGAGTATACTAGGGGTAAGGACCCCAAAGACCGGATATCTCCGTTGCCGCCTACCGGTGGTCTAAAGCATCGTTCGCGCTCGTTGGGTGATATGTTTAGTATGATTCCGTCACTATTAGTGAGGTCTCGCCGTCGACGTTCAGCACGAAACGTCGACTTGCAGAAGCGAGCATCCACAGTTAGTGATCCACGTGAGTACCTGTTGCGCTCCAAAGACAAGACGTTTGTTTCTCGGTCGTCCTCAACCACATCGGAAGGATTCATGCGCTTCGATTACTTTAGGTAAAAAAGATTCCACCCGTAAGAGTTCGATTCGATCCCTTAAATCTCTTATCGAATTCGACATTGCTCATCTACAATGGGATAACCAAGCACCTGACGCAAGGCAGAAATATATTATCTAGTAGCGTGAAAAGTGTTTTATTTACTCTAGTACTTGGCGATTTTATTGTAGTTGTATTTATGGTTCGATATTATTGCATACAGCGTTATAAATATCGCTCAAATTATATGATGCCTACTGTTATTCAGGTTTATGAAAGGACTCAGTCCGGAGAGTAGCATAAACGGCAATAGCAGCCCTACGCCGATCGTCGAAGAGAGACTGGAAGCGACTGAGGAAAGTGAGCCATTGCTCCGAGTGTCAGATGAAGAAAGCCTTAATGCCGTCAGCCCTCCACCCCTCTGGTGGATGCTCGATATGCAGGTAGGCGTACACAGTAAAACGAGCAGAATGCTCGAATTAACCAGCTGTCATATGTGAGTTTTTCATCGCATATAATGTATTTGCCAGAGGCATAACTTTCTATCTAAATAATTTGGGTTAAGCACGATCAATGCGCGCGTGAAGGCACACTAACTTCTGTTCATCTCAAATAACAATATATTAGTATTTTTCATCATTAGTCATTTTATTCTTAGCTGACAGAATTTTCGTTTCTGCCTGCCATGTCCAATATTGCAGGAGCCTATGCCAGCAGTCGAGATAGGGTTCCCAGCGACATCCGCTGCTTCTGATGTGAGTCAAAGCTTTACAACACTCGAAAATCCTATCAGCCAAACTGCCGAAGCTGCCCGCGCCGGCCCTAATTCAGCGATCGCGAAAGTAGCTATTGGAGCGCACCATCCGTTAGGCGTTAGTGGCATAGTGGAGCCTGCTAGCACAGCTGTCACCATGGTGTCAGCAGCCGCAAGTGGCGGCAATGTTGGTATCAGTAGTAACGCTGGCAGCGGGGCTTCTTTTGGTGGCGTCACCGGCCGACGTTCGGGGGAGCGGGGAAAAGGTCAACGCCAGTACGCACATGAGTTCAGTTGCACGGGCCCCGCGCCGACTAAATTACTCGCCTCGAAACATCAGGTGCAGCATTGCCAGGAACAACTCCAAAAGCAGCAGCAACTAGCCTTAGCGGTGGACCCAGCAACAGAAGCAGCGACACTAGTAGTCCACTCGATACAGACAACATCACCGCCTATCAGAGGCGTGACACAGGCCCAAGTGAATCAGCCGCATATAGATCTAGCTAGTCGCCGTAGATTGAAGGTAGGTACAGGATCTCGTTTGACAAACATCGTCTTATTTCGTGGTAGAAAAATATTTTTAGTAACTTCCCTTTGCAAACACACTTGTTTGTCTTTCTGGCAGTCCACTAGTCTCCTTCTGCCACCAATCGCGACACGGACAATTATGGTTACTCCTACACGTAATGTACCATCTTATAATAGCACAGCCACAAGCATAGGCCGTGTGAAGTGCTGATAATGAATAGTACAAATTAGGTCCTTTCGCCTTGTTACTTCTCACGTCAGTCTGGCATCGATTACTATTGACGAAAATTCTAATGTATGTTGGTGTACACATCCAACACAAATCAAAGTCATTTCCATGTGGTAATTATTTCGCTATGGTCGCTTGCACTACCCTTCAGTTTCAAGGAACCCGGCTTCAGGAAAAAGCCCTTCGAAACCGGTTCACCAAGAAAAGTTCGTTCGATAAGCTGCTTCGAAGACGCAGCATAGCCAGAAGTTATTTCTCAATGCCTAATCTTAACGTATTTTCGGCGGCGTTCAACGAGCGTTCGCCGGCGAGTCATCTTCGTGTTTTGTTGAAGAGACCGCCAGCGCCAGACCTTTCAGAGCTGGAACTCAAGCTCGGTATCATCGACGAACACGGCAACCTAAAAAACCCATTGCGACCAGCCGAACACGGGTTAGTATGGGTGTCGTGTTGTGAAACTTGTTCGATAGATGAGAGCTTCTCGTTCATTTGTTGGTGCCTTATAGGTCGACCTGTTGCCTACCTGTTGTTTTAGCATAGTTGAACGATTCATAATATTTTAAAATATGTTTCTATCCTTACCAAACGTAAACAATTTGGTAACAATCTGTCTACATCTTTTCTCATGCTGCAATTTTCCGGGTTAACTATTTACGGTCGAAGTCTGCTGTGATAGCCCGTGGCCCCACAGAGTGGTACAAATACCAAACTTTTAACTAGATTTTAACTTAAATTTTACTTTACTGTAGAACAGTGAACTTTTTTCGGCGTCTCCTTCGTTATATATATATATATATATATAATACGTAGGAAATTAAGACACGTAATATATCGCCATTTATACTACGCATCTCTTGCTCGAGGCACCGTACTAGCGAATTCAATTTACTAATATATTACATCCGTGTTTGTCTTGTAGGGGGTCGATTTCATCGCACGTCCCACCATGGCTTCCAACTAAACAAGGTCAGAGCATCGAAGTAGGGGCCGGCGTGGGAGCTTGCGTCGCCGGTGGATCAATTGGCGGGATGTACGGAGGTGCATTTGGTTTACCATTCAGTGCACTACCTTGTCTGCGGTCCGCGCTTAACCGCCGGTATTCTCTTTCAACTGTCCAGGGGAATTCTATTAGCTTTGTGCCAGGGATTCCATCGAGAAGTTGGGTGTCCAAGGCAAGACACGACAGGTAAGTTGGGTAGTGTTTTTTTCCTATGGGGGATTAATCATTATTACGCTGTGTCGCATAGCAGAAAATGAAAAACAACCTAACTTATATGGGGAAAGTGTACGCGTTCACTACACCCGGATACTCGTAAATACGATAAAATTACCCTTTTACGTCTGGTACTGCCGTTAAACATTACCTCAAACTTAAAGAAAGGATTATAACAATGAGTTTTAGTTACTTGTACATTTATTGGGTGTACGATTTTACTTCGGTAAATTTTGCATCATTGTTTTTTCGTATTTGATATGCATCAGCCGAATAGAAGTCTCTATGTATCTGTTAAGCTATACCGACTTACAGTATTCAAGTTTCACAAATGACCATCGATGTTACTGTGGGTAATTCTGCTCTCTACGGACAGTTAGGGTAAAAGTCAGGCAAGCTGAGATCTACAGACAGGAAAAGTTAACGTACATCAATATTGGCTTCATTCAGAGTACGTATGTAATCTGTCTCGAATAGACAGAGGCTAACGTTCTTATATGTGACTTGACTTTAGTCTTAAAAGCGATACAAGCGTCGAATCGGAATCGGACTCCGTTGTATCGGTGATCTACCGTTCGAAGGCTTCGGGAGGTAGTGGGGGTGGCAACAGTGGTGGGGGCGGTCTCAGCGACAACAGTATTGACAGTGAAGAGAGCATTGTATCGGTCATTCACCGATCGACCGAAGATACGCCGCGCGCCGGATCTGCCAATGGAAACCACGGCAGCAACAGCAATCGAAGCTGGCAGGCCTCACCGCTAACCATCTCGCAGACGGGCAGCCATGAGGGATCGTTTAGCTCGCCGGAGTATTCGCCAACCCTAAAGAGCGCTCCACCTAAAACTGAGAAGGTGTCCTGCAAATTGTGGGAGACTTGTTTGACTGAAGTTGACGATGAGCACGCATCCGACGCACGTAGTGTTTCACCTCAACCGGTAGGAAAAATACCATGTTACCGATAGACTGTGTCATATGCAATTATGCATGTTTTTTTAATATACGTCCATTGTAGTATAAATAGCAAGACATCTCATGACATTTAAGCGAACGTTCGAAAAATATACAAGCAAACTTTATTTCATATTATCGCTCTGTGTTTTTATCTTTGCTTAGTCATTAGTGCTGCACATTGTGAAATTCGTGCTCAGTTGTTGGAGACGGTTACCTTTATGATGGAAACGTTAGCTGAATGTAAACCGATAATAACGACTCGAACACTGTCTGTATATCTATATGTATACACACTTAATTATTTAATATATAATTAATTGTTTTTACAGCCAAGCGTATCGGCCTCTGCTCTGCCTTCAACATCAGAGCCCACCAACGAAAGCACCAGCATTGATCAAGACAGACAAGGCGACGTTGACAGTGAAAACATCGACAGACAAACTGAAGATATCGAAGAGATGAGTCCAGATACGGCTGAGATGCTTATGGAACTAGAACGAGAGAAAGAGAACTCCCCGTTACTGACGCCGTCTTCATCATCGGATGATGCACCCTATATGTCCGACGAGGAGGTGCAGTGCGAGGATATACCCGAGAGCTTTGAACTAGAGAGCACCGAAGCATTGACAGCCATCAACGCACCGATCGACCTCAGTCGGCTTCAGCCTCCTTCATCCAGGCGGATGTGCTCACCGGTAGATCCTCTTGAACTGGAGGATGACGTACTGGAGTCGATTCCCGAGGAAGACGAATCATGCAGTCCTATAAAGTCTCCACGAAGTAAACAAGAAGACGGTACCCACTTCCCGATGCCGGCACCTGAACATTATCAGAGTCATAATCATCAACAACTGCTACTGCCGCAAAAGTCACAGCCCATTAGATCCAATCGCGTGGTGACTTCGGCGGCTGATACTGACCCGATTTCTACAACAGTCGCCACCACTACACTAGAAACTGTAATTGCAACGCCTGCGGCAGCCTCTTTGTCCCAGCGGATACTGGCCTCGTCTAATATTCTGTTAAGGTCGACGCCGATGCTACATGTGATGTCGATAGACGCAACTGTCACAACTGCTTCTGTACCAGCTGAGAAGGCATGTAAATCATACAGAAGAGGCCACTCGGGGTCGAATCGAAGCTCCGGCTTGGCGCAGCCAGCTGAACTTCGGCATCATTTGCAATTACTAGCTACCTCAACCAGCAGTGCTGTCCCCGGCGGAGATTGTGATGATAGAATTACGGCTGCTCGTCCACAGGAGAAGTCACCGACAAACAAAAGCAGCACATTAGCGGCGAGTCGGAACCTAAAAAAGGTGCTGGCTGACACAGAAAAAGCAGTAGTAACTTTGCATTCAAACGTACCTGAGCAGAAGTCGAGTGCCAATAGTTCTTCTACCACTACTAGTTCTTGTGTGGATGTGTGCGGCATGACGGTGGGGTCCACAGGAGGCAGTGGTCCAATAAACAGCAGCAGCAGCAGCAACAGTTCTGGAAGCTCTCCGTTGAAGCCGTTCTGTGGTCTGCCAAGTCGCTTTCAGCAGGGCGATAGCAACCGCCGTGCCAGTGACGTAGGCCCTCAAAGTAAATGCCCTAAAGAAAGGGCCCAATTTTCTCCCCAATACTCGTTACCTGAACAGAAAAAGTTTCAAAAGGAATTAACGGCCTCGTGCGAACAGCTATTTAGGCGACGGCTTTCCCCGCAGAGACAGCAGGAGATCCGCAGCGACCCCCTGAACGAGCTGCTTCGTGGCTCAACCAAGTCGGTCGCGGGAAAGCCGACTCTACCGGAGCCAGCATTAGTCGGCTTGCAACAACAGCCACTGCCTCAGCAATGGGACGATCCTCGTAGTCGTGGTGGGAGTATCTCGGTGTCACCAGAGCCCCTTGGCCTCTCGGTTTCTCGCCGGCGCACACCCGAGCTGCGAACGTCCCCACTTGAGATGCTGGCTCAAGAGCTTCGGTCGAGTTCCGATGACCTATACCGAAGAGCTGCCGCCTCCACCGATCACAGCCAGCTGGCCATTGACATTAGTCAACTGGTCGTCGATCCGTCGAATCCGGCGCTTCTGGAACGGTAAATTGCTATGCAAAGCGAGCGATTAAGAAAAATTATTCGGAATTGTCTACTGTAACAATCTAAATAGAAAGAGTGTAGCTAATTCCGCATTGTGCTCTGAAATTGCTCATGCATTAGTCCGAAGTATAGGTGTGATTCGCAAAGTATTTTTGTTCGTTGTAAACTAAATGGTATATTAGAAGGTATGAGGCACTTCAGGCCGAGGGTTAGCCAAGGACCAAACACGTAGATTACGCATAATACTTATAAAATATACATGATCTCGCTTTTTGCTTGTAATTTCTTAGTTACCTTGAATAACACGATAATGCAATTAGTGACATGACGGAAATTGGTTTTCCTGTATTTCTCAGGTAAGGTAGACGTCATTCTGTAGGCGCCGCTTCACAGCAAAGTCTTCTTGAAACAAGTCTCTCTCAGAACGTCACTGTATTTCCTCGGCTCTAATGAAACCATATATGGTTGCGCATGATTGCTAAAAACTACTAACAAAATCATGTGTATGTCTTCTTATAGACGTAGTTCCCTTCGAACGTCGCCTGATCCTCGCTTCGAAGATGCGACGGAGGACGCCGTAAAGAGCGTACAACATGGTGACAAATGCAACTATTGGGAAAAATGGCTGCCCGAGGCGCTCTCGCGTATCTACGCCGGCACAACCAAACACGACTGTGATGAAGTCTGCGATCAACTAAGCGAGCTACCTGAAGTCATTCCACAGACTACACGGTGAGTTAAGCGGTAACTCCCGCCTTGTAGAACTCGAAGTTTTATCGTTTCCAATATAGCTTAGCTTCCTGCCGTCTCAGTTTTTACGACATACATTCAAGTGGAAAACATTCTACAAAACAACGAAACGAATAGCCTGTTAAGTAACTGTGCATAGAGTGGGGTTTTTATTAAATTAGCTTCGCTAAATTATTTCGTTTCTTCGATGAAGGTGACAAATGAGCTTCAACAACTACCATCTCAGTTGTTTCTCAGTCAAATAGTTTTGTATTAACAGATAGACTATACAGCGTGAAGTACGCGAATTATGAAAACTCTTAAGACGATTAAGTTTAAAGTTAAGACGATGCCTGTTGTCTTACGTAGAAGCAGGTAGATTGCACGTTTTTCCATAAAATGTAGTCATCATAGCTCCGATGCAACAAGAGCTGTCATTCAAACATCGCAAGCTTGTTCTCTGTGGATCAATTAAGCCGACAAAAAAAATTAAGCAGAAAACCGATCTTGGTGATGCAAAATAATAATTGCACTATGTTAGTACAAGCAAGTTTTTATCGAACCTCTTATATAGCAAGGAATTCGAAGCTCAATGGGAGGCACTCGTAAAACATGTTCACTCTATCGTATGTCATACCCGATACGGAAGTTGCGAGTTTCCGCGTGACTTTAAGCGCCGCTTAGATATTGAAGAAGTTAGACTCCTAAGCAATATATTCGGGTTCGCCAGGATCCGCTGTGCGGAAAGGCTTCAGCTTAGGCTAGATTAGATCAATAAGTTAAAATGTTCATTATAATAATTACCAGGCATATCGGAGGCAGAATTTCCGCAGAAGGTGGTATTCTGTACTCGGATCGAAACTCGCCCATCGACATCTGCATAGATCAAGAACACTTGTTCCTCACCGGATGTCCCCAAGCGACACCGCCCACATCACCTGAGCAATTCTCCGACGCGGACGAGTCCACTGCGTCAACAACTGATCAGGAAATTTCAGATCTCAGCTCAAGTCTTGAACGCCTGCGCGTATCAAATGGACTACAACCTGAAATCACCTCTGCACAACACCCTAATCTCAACATAGTAATCGAGGATTTCTCTGATCAGGGCGGATCGGACGCCGAAATCTCTGAAGCATGCTCATCCAATGCAGCCAATAGCAATGTAAATCAACTCTACGTGCAGGAGAGGTACGTATGGACTGATCATCATAGCAAAGAACAGAGGAGATAATCTTGAATCTTTCTATCTAGATTGTTTACTAAGAATGCTATATGACACAGTCATATTTTCCATTTGTTTTTATATTCCGTATGCAGGAAACATTCACACTAATTTATACCGTTGCCCCATAGTAGTAGAGACCGTACCCCGGAGAAAGGTTAACCAAATACGTCGTGAATAATCTGAAACTGTTGTGTAGGTATTTTCTAGTGGTCAGTAGTTTCGCGGGTATAAACTATAGCTCGAAGTATCATTTGTGGCATTTATAGACAAGGAGGATCGAGCTCGCTGTCGGATCACTCGGACCGATCTTCAGCGAGCATACAAACCGTCTTCAAGTTAGATACTCCGTCAAAGGAAGCGTCGCCTGGAATGTCCCTGGATCTGCCCAGCGGCGAAATGGACGTGGTGATGAACCCGCTTCCCGGTGGAGACGACGCCGACGCACAGCAAGAAAAACTCAGCCTCACATCTAGCTCAAGTGAAGATTCGAGCGATGAGAATTTTGGAGATAGCTGCTGTGCCACTATGACAGGACATTCAGCAGAAACTTACCATCGGTACGGGTTTGCTAGTTCTAATTTGCACACTCAGATTAGATATACTATCTATTACTGATATATTATTATTATTATATAAAAATAAACGAATTCTCACAAATCATATGCAACAAAATACCTATAAGGTTGAAAAGAATGATCCGGCGGCTAAGTTATCGCCTGAATAAAATTACATCAGGAATAACTTGCATAACCAGTCGCATGCTTTGTAAATAAAATATAGTAAGAATAGGCACTCATTGATAGGGTTTTTACAGCACATTTATCAAACAATATCTGATAGATACATTTCGTCCCCATTCGTTCTCTTCGGTCGTTCGGGAATGGCCCTGGCGTTGTTCCGATTCAACTGTTTGCCGATTTATCATCACTGTTATAGTTACTACCACGTGTTCAGACAAGGTGAGCTGGACTCCCTCATCGAAAAGTACGTGCATAGTCTACACATCTTGAGGTCTTATTACGACCATAGTAACTGGTGTATCGTCGCTGAACGTGTGCAGGTTTGGACCATCTAGCAACGAAGGTAAATAGCGAAATGGTCGATGAAACCCTGTACGTGATACAGCAAGTAAATGTATATACAGACGAAGCGAAGTAAAACGGTCAATACCAGTAGAGGAAAGAAGTACTACTGAGCTATCTAACGATACTATATTCATTCATACCTAAAGGCCGCCATATCAAGGACAAGCGATGGATCAATGACGCTTTATTATTCATTATTATTCTTCCTGCTTTTTTATTATTAGACACGGTTAGGTAAGAGCATGTGGCAAAGTACGCTGCATCTTTCGAAAGCGATCAAAAAGGACACATATTATTAAATAGCTATGTATGTGTACTTGAAGAAGTGACATTGCGCCAGCGATAGTTGTGTTCTCCGATATATTTCCTTATATTACGTAGTAAGGAACAAGGAAACAGACGCTACAGAATACGCGCTTGACATGGCCAGTACTCCTCCACGATCTGGATTTGCATAGTGATTAAAAGCGCAATATATTTTAAATCATCGAAGATAAGTAATTTAACAAAACTATATCCAAGGCAGAAAGATCTCTGCAAGAGAAAACAAGCATTCGGACTAACGCTAGCTTCAGACACCTTTGTAGTGACCTCGCAAAAACACTATTTCATATCGTAAAATGCCGAGCTACCATTAAGTGATTTCACGTTGGTCTTAACTTCTGCCGATGCTTCTTGTACCTGTAATGAACAAAGATACTTTGTACTCTTTAAAATGTACTTCGTTTATCACATGGATGAATTTTGTTTCGTACTGCAAGTAAGATACATACATTGTATCAATCCTAACCGTTTGCCAACCTTGACTCATGAATTCTGCGTTATTTGTAAATATATTGCGGATCGAAAATTATTACTGTTACTTCTATTAGGTCGTGTCAAGTTTTCCACTCTGCTAAGGTATCCATGTTGCCCTGTCAAAAACACGAAGTCGTTACGTGTTTTTTAATTATTTCGTGTTTTTTCATAAGTGGCAGTGAGCTATAGGGACTGTAGAATATGTGCGAACCACGAGGATACGGTAGAGATAAGAGTAATTATATATATATATATATATATATCTGTAGGAGATTTTGCAACGCAGAAGGAGTCTATCTATTCAGATTTACTGATGTTCATTCGTCCATTGATATTACATTAAGTCGCACAGATCTACGGCCACGTATCGTCATGCTAACAAGAACACGTTTCACTCATGCATATTTATGTACAATTCCTTGATGAGCACTCTTGTCTGCCTAAACCGCCGGTTTAGCTTCAAATAATGAAAATCACACGAAAAGCTGTGAATCTCGTTTTACTAAAGCTTTTACGGTGGTAACGGCACGCCGGCTATGTGTTTTACCGCTCGCGGACCTTGTGAATGGTAACAATTCGTATAAATGCGAGGCCTCAGACAGACTAAGCGTGTTATTATCATTAATTAGTTTCTTGCGTGGTATACATAAGTAACAAAAAGCCCACCTGGGCTCCGCGTGCTCATACCTAAGTCTACTCCCTACCTTACTTACGGCCCATCCGCTAAGAACTCATAGGCAATTACTTGAGCAGTTCTATACATCTATCATATAATAACCGCAAAATTAGCGAACGCTAAGAATTCTACACAAATTTAGAAGCACCGTGGCCGGCATTTTCACGCAAACGAATTATCTATAATTGACTCGTCTTCAAGGAATATCTATTTACCTATATATTATCTCGAATGAACTAGCCAGTTACCTTTGAGGCAATAACACGCCTACAATATGAAACACACTTTCTATATATAGATAACAAGAATGAAAACAGATCCAATGAAAGTCAAATTTGATTTCTGTTCTTATAAGCTGGCTTAATTAAAAAGCCCACAGGAAGCTAACAGTACAGAAAATCAGTGTACAGTAGAAGATCCTTCGGCAGTGAAACAACTACTGCATTACGCAGTGCGTTATTTGAACAGACAGACTTCAAAAAGTCGTCATGACTAATCTAACGGCCGGCTAAACAACTACGACTCAGTCCCGACCGGCCTAGGAAGGTAGCGCACTGCGGCAGCTACCCCAGCAGCCGTGGGGAAAGGCGCCTGTGAGGACACCATACTCAGTTAAACGGACTCACTGTATCTACGGCTATTAGAGTGCATGTGCTTAAGTCTAGTAATACATCTAAATACGGACATAGACACTGTATTTAATGGTGAGTCATCTAAAATTGTTATAGAGCTAATGGAGAAAAGGAAATATATGTCTATATATTGTAGTTCTACTTTGTCGCTTAATAGAAAGCAGTGCTGACATAGATGTCGTGAGTGGGTAGACTAAGTTCGGATAAGTAGCGAAATGACGACGGGCACTTCGCGTCGTTTTTAGACTATGTACCGGAGCTTCTTCGATGGCTAGGAGCTTCAACTAGGCGCACAGAAGTGCGAGCAGAAATACATTTGAAATACATATAACTAAATACACTAGTATATCGAACACTATATACAGAACGGGCGATATAACGTCGAAAATGACAATTAGTTACGAAATCGGTGTGTGTAAGCAATTTCATCTACTATCATTGGTGTTATTACATGGCGAGGAAAACATCGGATGATCTCAGTGACAGCATGTATCGAAAACGTAAAGTACTTTTTGGGACCAGATAGCTTGTTGAGTAGGGTAGAGCATATCATGAAAAATTATAGCAGTTATCTTCACAACGAAGAAAAACGGTAGCACCTGTATCGCAAGATTCGGAGATTCATGATTTGCGAACATACGAACTCGATTCCTTCACTTAGGAACACACATACGCGCCCACACATAGAGCATATAAGCTACAGAGCAAAAACACCCGTAGCAAATAGATATAAAAAAAAAAAAAAAAAAAACTCGCATTAGGATATATGTACGTACCGGCCTGCAATAGAGACGATGCGAACTCTAGCAGAAATTCGTGAATAAGAAATATGGCGTCTTCCTGGTATAGTTACACCCACCTACCTAAACAATGCGTGTCACATAGTACGGTGCAAGGAAGTAACAGTAACGGAATACATTGCCCCTGTTTTACTTTATCGTGGTTGCTCGCTCTGTTCCAATGACGAAGTCACAATCCAGAGGTCATACACTTCAACGAGAATGTCCGACGAAAAAGAAAGAATACTGTCGGAAAGCGCATGTAATCACTGTTTTCATTATGTCTAATGACGAAGTACAGGGAAAATTTCATTAAATAGTAATTGTTATAACTGCATGTGGCTGAACGATTAGATGTTGTATTATTACAGGACCCGTACTCATTGACGCCCACAAATGCGTCAAATTTTTATTGATTGTTGCTATAGCTAGTAGTAGTAGAACAGTTACTATTATTATTTGTGTTTGAGCGAGTTTAATATGGTTGACAGTATGAACGCCATAGGTTGACTGCTTGTCTGTTGCTTGATGAAGGGTTTGAATCACTATCTGAAATATATATTATGTTTGTTGGACTGTAGAATTCAACTGTTTAACTTAGAGGTATTGGAGAATGATGGAAATTGTTGCACACACACACACTGAAAGCAACAATCATCTCAAAGGAAAAATGTGATGGAGGAGAAAAACTTCACCGATAGCAACAATAACATATAGAACATTTTATGAGAATGCATAATATTTATGCTTGAATATTTTCAAGATCATAACCTAACATTTTTATCGTAAATGTAATAATGTGTGAGTCTCATTATTATGATTTTTGTGACGAGCAATGCACGCGGTAATGTAAACTCGAGCTACCATTTATTAAGCTATGGTTCTCAACATCACTGATGCTGAGTAGATGCTTTTTTTTTTTCACTGGGGCATGCTGCAAAGAGCCTCGTGCTGTCTGAGAACCTTCGATACCGTGTACCCTAGATAATAGCAGGTAACAAAAAAACATCGACGACAGTAAAAATCCATTATTCGGTAACAACGCCGATAACAACAGCTGTTCTCACGACAAGCCATGACCATACTATACATATATGACTGACAACAACAGTGCGGCAATATACTGACTTCAATGATAATCATAACACTATGTGGTCGTGGCCTGATCAGCAAATATCCAAACGATATATATGTATATACATATGTATAAGGTATGTTTATGTGTGGATGTATATAAAAGATATGTATGATCGGCGAATGAACGCGGCCATTAGCTCGAATAAGGGCCCTTTTCGTAATAGTAGGTCTAGATTTTTGCAGCCAGAAGCAACAGTTCTAGGTAGCCAAAATTAGATAGAACAAAATAGCAGCGACGTTTGACCATGCCAGTGCTAGCCTAAATTGACAAGTATTCAGAAATTAACAGACATAAACATCGACCGGCAGAAACATACAGCCACGAATGCATCGCGCTAACAAATATACAAAACATTGACGAATTGTATGAGACGAATGATAATCGAAGCCTGACGCGGAAATGCCCAACAACAAACGGTATTCGTCGTGAGATACAAAAAAAAATTGGAGTAGGTGTTCACGATACAGTAAATTAGAGAAAACGTTTTACAGGAATCTTGAGTATGATTATAAAAACTGCAGTAGCCGTCGAAAAGTGGCTAGATAATATCCATATACCAAAAAATTCCAATTATGATTGAGCAGTTACTGCATAATGGGAGAAATAACAACCAGTAGTTTGTACGACTTGCTTATATATATATATATATATATATATATATATAGAAATTATCATTATCAAATGTCTACAAAGATAACGTATTTGTAAATTTATAATCATAACAATATGATTTTTAAAAAGACGAGATTTTAATAAATAAGGACCCAGATATGTAGATCACCAGAACCGTGGCTTCAACCACCCATAAACAGAGATGTATACGCGGTATTGATAATGGCTATACATTAGTGCAGCTGATAAAACAACCATGATATGTTTTATCATTACCCCGTTTAGTTAGTACAGTTAGCACAAATGTAAAGGACATATCTGCTCGTTGATGAATATTAAAGATCTTGACATACTTGGCCTTTGCCCGATATCCTCTTGTTCTAGCTACCCAATGGACGTTCTCTATTAGTGTCTCTATCATTTACCAGTCAGCTGCCGGCACTCGCTGCGATAGTATAGCAATATCGTGATTGGGCCCCTGTCATGGTAAATTGTTTTAACTCGCCAGGTAAGCTAAAATCAGCGCCTGCGTCAATCATCAGTGAGCTTTCCATGGACTCTTGTCTGTCATGGATCGAAAGCTCTCAAGTCTACCCTCGATATACAGGAAAAGCTGTCGAGAAAGAATATGGTGCGAATATACTGTTATGCTCGGGTTACCAAAACCGATTTGGATGGCAACAGCTGTTTTATCGTCAACAAGCGTCATTTGGCAGTAGTTAGTAGTTTCGTAAAACGGGCGCCTACTCTAGGTTATTGTATAGCACAGGTAATATCCCTGCCTACGACGACGACGACGACGACATCGCTTAATCATACCCGTCGCAAACAGTCATTTCAACGATTCGTAAAGAACAGATGCTATTTCTATTGGCGGGTGTGCCGTTAGTCGTCTATAGATTGAGGTTTTAGGTGAATCTTCTAAAGCTGGGATACATATAATAGAAGATAATGACAATTGTTTATTCATCAGAAGGGCCACTATACACTGTTTTTTTTTTGATTCCCTGTATACGTTCGTTCTCTGGGTGTACAGGTTAGAAAGAATGAGCTGTTATTATTTAATGATTAAAACGATATTGCTGTTTCGTTAATGTTTATCCTAAGTGTACTGCCATTTTGTTAAGTTGCAACACTCGTCGAAATAATAATATATATAGTATGGTAATAACGATAGCGCAGTAAATAAATTGCGAAATTAAATATACATATATACAGACCTTTGGAATTATTATCACGATTAGTGGTTGTACGATTGTTGATGTTTTATGAGCGACTGATGAAGTGACAACTGATGTCCGAGACTACGGCGTACACCTTGAAAACATGGAGACAAAAGAGCAGATAACTGCTATAAGTGTAGCATAGCTCGGATGTTTTTTCGACATTTCCAATAGAACAGTTGAGTGTGAGCTGTTTGTTCATTAACGAACGAAAGCAAACAATAAAATAACGCTAACCATTTTGACGACAGCCACACCTACAAAAAAATCTCTACCGCGCTGTCAATTTAGAGAGATCCCTTTACCAATGAGATGATACATCGAGGTGAAATGAAAACGGACTAGTAGTTAATAGAACAACGTGTATTTATTCGTATAGTCGTTCATAGATTGGATTGATTTGTTTTGAGTTTCACTCTCTAGCAACGCCTGTTTGCATCTGCACGCAAGAAATAGGCTAGCATAAAAGTTTCGTAGCCGAGCAATTTCTTTATAATTACAAGGGCTTCGTGAATGTGCTGTGATGGTGATGCTGAGCGAGACGATAGGTGTCCTTTTAATCCAATCCTTGAAGCCGTTCGTAGTGTGAGGCCTTGTTAACTCTTGAGTATGTGGTCGAATGGATTAGGTCCCTTACGGCCCGTTGACGGATGTTCTAAAACGTGAAAGCATCTTTTTTTATCATTACAGCTCTCCTAGTAAACAATCCCATCCTACTATAGCGGGAAACGTTTAACTCCCTTAAAAGCCACCAACTGATATTTAGAGATCATCTAAAATAATAAAACACAACGTTCTAAAATGTAATTCAAGTGCCAGTGGACGTTTCCCAGCTTACTGTTATATTTCGACAAATTTTTCGCATCGCATAGTCGTGGTAGCAAGTTGCGCAAACGCACCAGATCTGTACTCCTACAAGTTCTACACCTAATTCCCCGTTAACGATCAGTAGGTTTTGCTAATTCGGACAATAGCTTTCGCCTGATTTGAATTCATAACGCCAAAACACCTCCGTGGAATCGCATCGCGGAATATTGCTCCGTCTATTCGGTTCACGTGCGTTGTACTTAGACCAAATCTCGCGGGCTACAATAGCTTTGTGGAAGAATCGTTCGATGCAACTGGTTTCAACCTGGACTTTTTCAAGCTCTAGATAAACATTCAACTTGGACAAGCTCTATAATCTTATCGACATTTTGGGAACTACAGTACCTTGAAGTAGATTAAGGCCTATGCACTCGCTCCATTCTCTTTTCGAAACTGTTTTGTCTTCGTCTTCGTCGCAGAATTTAGCAGCGTTCCTCCAGCATCGGCGAACCTGTCGTTTCCGCGCTATACCTAATGCTTGCACGCCGGCTCCTGCCTTCCACTGCCTTCGAAATGCCCGCCATTCGTCACGCTCAAGACGGGCGCTCCGGTTCAAATCTAACGTGGCGAATTTCCATGATGTTGTGTCATTACGCACCGTAGACAAGGATGTTTTCCTGACGTGCGCCAAAAGAATGGGTCACAGAACTATGCGTTACAACAAACGTAACATTTAAGAACCAACCTTCTCCGGCAAATTGCTAGCAAGGTCACCTAGGTTATACGGGCATATAATCACTTAATGTCGGTTTAATACCAAACAGGGAACGAACACAGATATGAATGTCCCTTTCCAAGAGAACATTCCAATTTTGATTTTTTTTAATACTATACCACGAAATTCTATGTCGGCTCGTATTTTTCTTCACTACATTTAAGCGTCTAATATCGGCTCACCACGTAGTTGTATTTGACCAACGCTAATACTAGCGCTTACTTATGGGACGGCGTGATCTTCGTGACTAATACGCATTTTTTAGAATGTGTAACCATGAACATGCGCCCGTCACTGGCCTAAATTTCAGCGTTGAAAAATGGTTCTCACCTCTTCAGGTGGTTACCACGTTGTTTTATATACTTGTCAAAGAAACCTCGGGTAAGTCTAACAGAGGTTAACTCGGGTAAGTCTTCTAATTAAGGCAAATCCTTGATACGATACCGAAAAAGATCCTGAGGCGATAAAAGCATGGCTACTTGTGCACTCCTTATTTTTAAAACAGTTATTACTATCCATTGGGGCCGCACAAGCGTTAAGAGGTTTCACCTCATCGAATCAGTGCAATATACATTTGGAAATAATAACGGTAATTATATTTGATATATGGGATAGATTTTTCTCATACTCACACAAGAGCTTCATCGAGGGTCATATTTACGTGACTGTTTTTCTCTATATGAAAAATCGATATGAGATACTTTGCAAACAGTTTTTTTTTCTTCACTGGACAACCCTTAAGTATCCGAGCTTTCGTTTTGGCGCTCGTACAGTCTACCATGCTGCCTTTGCGGGGAGTACCTGAAATATTTTTGCAAATGTTAATGTGCACTGAGCTAGTTCTCTAAACACTACCAGGAACTAAGGTCTAAATTAGAATTAAATAAATACAATAAGGCCACTGCTGTATGATGAGGCCCGTGGACTGTCCGCTATAAAATTCCAGATTCGTGTCATGTTTGAACAAATCTATACCTAAATACTATAGGTGAATATTAGTTGTGAGACTATTCGAAACTTGAGCAATACACATTTGTTCTTGATCTTTATAGAGTGCGTTTAACAAAATTACGTACTGCACTTGTGAACGTTTTCAAGCTGTGATCATACTAAAAGTTTCAGTACGTAGCTCATGCTTTCAATTTGTTTTTTACCATTTCTAATGGTTTACCTTGAATAGGTTTGCCTGTTTTTGTAGCAACACACCAACAAGCCCCTGCATGACATTGTACTTCACGATACGATCCATCAGGATTGCATACCGGTACATAAGTGTCTCCATGCCGTCGACGCTCAAGTGCCGTGTCACGAGCAGTCGCGCAGTCATCCGCCTCTACTGGAAACACACAACCATAACCCACATAACAATGAAAATATTAATGGCATCATTAAGCAATTCATCTTCTCATTTTTTTTTTTACGTGTGAATAGCATTGACTGAACCGTAGTATTTTTAAGGGACCTCTTATGCATAGCGAACACAGAAAACCAAGCAACGCCTTCTAACTGAGGTAGGTGTCAACTGAATTGTGAACTATAATACGAATTTACATAAAAATGGTACCCGTTTGGTTTTTGGTGAAGCATAAATCTACAAAGATATGTAGATATTACACCAAAAACAAATTAAACAATATCAAATATTTTGACCAACGTAAAGTTCGATTCCTTCGTGAAAAAAGTTCATTATTTCAAAGTCATTTTATACCCGCTTTCAAGGTTTGATAGGATGCACAGGTTTCGACCGCATAGAACCATATCGAGTTCTAGAGGAATGTCAAGCATCATATGGTTTTGTCCCTATTCTTTTTTCTTCGTGTTCCGTTATGTGCTGTTTTGTCAGCTCAGAAATTGTCTCTTAAATGGACGTGCCGTCGACTCCGGCTGCAGACTGTAACGAGTATGGTTGCTCAGTCCTTATCCCGCTGTGGATTCAAACGGCGCAGATACATCGAAGAAGATGAAGAAGAAGACTGGCCGTGGCGGACGGCTGCAATCCCTTAAGAGGCGGACAGAACACAGATACGGAAACAATATTGCCGAACGGGTTCAAAGTCAACAATGAACGTAGGAATGACTATGACCGCCTATGGCAAATACATCCTTTCAACAATCGGTGCATGAACAAACAGCAAGGCGATGCATTCAAAGCATCCTGGCAACGTCCGACTGCTATACAGCCTTACTTAATAGCGATTGCTTTATTGGCCCTATAAAGTGAACAGCGGCTCGGTCTCGAATGGTAAGAGGCTTGATACGACGAGTACTTTTAGTAGCTGGTCTAGTTCTTTTTTACCGAATTTTCGTAGCGGAAAACTGCTTCCAACTGCATCTGTTAGTCAGCTTTCGTCCACTAATGATTCCTACTATAGATAACATCAGATATCAATTATTCAGTAAGATACATAAGTGTATTTGCGTATATTTGTATTTGTTTAAGTGAGCTAATGGGTAAAGATAATATCACAAAATATGATATACTAAGCGTGTGCATTGCACAACGAAGTTTGCAGTTTGTTCTTAGTCGAAAGATCCAAGCAGAACTTCAAGAAAAGGACGTACCCCTTTTAGTTTTCAGGAAAAAACAATCTACACAAACAATACTTTCTTAGGTAGATGCTGTGTTGTCCTGTGTATTGAGAAAAACTGTTAAGTGAACTTGTTTCAATAACTATTCATATTTAGGCAGATCGCAAATGGCAAACGTACGTACATGGCGCGTCATCATTTGAGTGGCTGCTGGCACTGATGGGATCCGTCAGCTCGGAGGCCTCCTCGAGTTCGTCGGGGTTTGGCAGGGATAAAGAACTCGTGATATCGTCATCCGAGGCTCCTTCAGGCTCATCTGTTCTCACCGTTCAATTTCATCCGATCGACCGCCGTGAAAAGGTTGAAGCAAAAATGCGCGTATCGAGCCGTTTCAGTCCAATGAAAACAAACATTTCTCTAGATGACAAAAATATATTCATAGCAGACCGTAAACCAGGCAAGATATGATACGATAACCACATAGTATACAATTTACACGCGTCTAAAGGAATACATCGCATTCAATATTAACTACCAACCACCTTCTTCGCCAACACCCAGTGAGTTCATCCATTCCTGAGCTGTAATGATCTCGTTATTGTCACGATCGCTATATTTGATGAAGTTTCTCGCACAGGGACGGGGCTCGACAAGCCGTTTCACAAGCCTTTTGAGATCTCGGTATTCCCGGTCTTCAAGCATCAGATCCGAATCACGGTCAAGCTGGCGAAATTTCCATTCAGCGGCTCGTGCGTACGTCACGTTATTGGACTGCGTAAGACGAGCCTCCCTTGCGAATTTTTCGAGAATGTTGGCGTTGAACAGTTCTCGATCGCTGGGCGTACAGGCTGAAAAGAGCACATGTTTGGTTAAAATATACTGCCTCATAAAGACATCGACTGGGTCGTTCGTAATTTGTTAAAATACTACGGTAGGACTAGCCATATAATGCTTATAATAATAATATTCTACTGGGCACGTCGTATTGACCTGTTCGTAGCGTGTCTGCCGCATTTCCTGAAATCGAACCTGAAGCTCTCAGTGCTTAATTGAGTTAGATACGAAAGGCAGCTTTCTTTTAGCAAGTTTAGTACGCACCGAATCGCTTGCAGTTGGGTCTCTTGTTAGCGGCGGTGGTCGATCCGGGTACAATTTTCCCATGCGAATCAACGCACCAACAATGGCCTGATGAGTGGCATTGTACCGGCGAGAATTCTCCATCAGCAGTGCATGCTGGCATAAAAACGTCTTTTTGAAAACTGGCCTGCGTTTGCTGAGCCCAGCAGCGCCTTTCTAAAAAAAAGCAGTTGTTATCCACTAAGTTCAAGACAAGTTTACTCTTATTCAACTCAGGCCCTTCTGGAAAGCAAACATGTTCGTATCCTCGCGAAAAGTACCTACAGCAGGGAAATTCACGTAAAATAAAAATCGTATAACTATTTCATGATATCGTATTGCAAATAATTAATAGTCCAAAGCGTTATAATCAGTTCCTTTCACAAAATGTTGATTCACCGGTTATCAACCCGTTTATACGTGACTGCAGTAAAGCAGGATGTTGCTCAGATCGCGTATATGTACTCATTTCAGCCTGGACACGTGTTTCTACTTAAATCCATAGCCACATCTGATTAAGAACGAAGTGGTGGTGGTGGTGTTTTGGCACCTGTCAAAATAATGGTATAGTATGGGATTGTTTTTGTTCTGCAGGAAGTATTTTAAGACACTGCCACCGCTCTGAATACTCCGCCGCACGTGAGTGCAGCGGAGCTAACGGAATCACTTAATTATTTTACCGCACATTTTAATACTCTGTCATTTGTAAGAACGCTAGTTAAAGCCGAAGCGATAGAATCGGTGTGTTAAGACTCTACTTCAATTTATTATGGGCACCTACTGTTGGTTAAAATGGCTAACCAAATAATACCTTGGTCATTAATTATGTGTAACAATAGTACAGTATAATCTCCATGACAAACATCCGAGTTTTGGCGCAATGTCACGGATTACTTTGAGAAACATTAATATACGAGCAGATCACGATTAGAAATAATCGATACATACCGACTGAGCAGTTACCATGGTGACTAGGTTCGACGCGATGACCTAGGCAACGAGCTTGGCGTAGCTCACATGAAGTATAGGTACGGCCATCTGACGCACATACGAGAGGTTCCGGTGAAGATGAGCTTTTTACGTCCGAGTTCGCAGTCGGGCATCGACCGCATTTGTGCTGGCCACCATCAGGATTCAACGGAATCTGCCGGATAATCGGAACAACACTGCATTAGCTGTACGCTCCCGTTTTAAATAGCTCAGATGTTACGGATGATATTTCCAAGCAGATTTTTCACTGTCAGTGGCAGCGCACTACTTCAGAACAGAGAATCGGTTAGTCATCTGTCAATGGATAATTTATGGTTTCCGCCTACCTTCTGTGTTGTTGTCGCAGCAGAAACTCCGTTAGGTTTGTTTAGTAGTTTGAATTAAATTAACTCGGACACTTAAATTGTTTTACAAAGAACAAAAAGAAAAGTATGTTTAAGACATAGGCCTAGACCTGTATCGCTTTTTGAAAATCTGCAATATGTACTTTAAGGACCACGTTCATTAGATACGTAGATATGCCCGGGCCGATAATTAGACAGCAATTCGATTGGCAACTAACAGCGTTATCACAATTCATTTTAGTGACACGGAAGACACAGGGTTCATCATAAACAGCACGTGAGATCTGCTTCTAGATTAGATTGTGACGGTCTGGTGCATAGTTGCAACGGTCATAGTAAAATGAGACCGACAGGAACACCGGAACGTTGAGCTGCTTGCCAATAACTGTCCCGGCTTCTGACATTCACTCGAGAATAAATCGGCATTGATCGTTCGTAGCAGAATGACAATGCTGTCAAATACGGAACGAGGAAGTCCACTAGCGAATGACCGATACACCCATGTAGAAATACTATTACGCAGTTCTGAGTCACTGCATTTTTATGCAAACGATAATGGCGGCAAAATCCGTGCGTAATCTAATTTATACTTTGTACTTTCTCGAATCATCTGCAGCTGACACAATGCTCAGCTTCGCCCTACTTCATAGAGCTCAGTTTACTCAGATGACGTGTGTAATTTAGGCAGAGACAAGAAGTCACCTAGCGGCCACCCAATAAACATGTTCTGTGTGAGGTTTCGTTGTAAGAAAACTGGGCAGTTAGCGCACTGCTGCCCATGCATATGCAGGAATCGAACACGTGGTTTCTCGTTTGGTAATTCAAAGCTTCTTAAACTTGTATTGCTTTAGTAAGTCGCTTACTCCCAGCGGCTTATTCGTCGAATCGTGTTGAAACCTTGACGTCCCAAGTGCACGCACATTCATTGCGACACGTTCAATTGAGACCGGTATAACTTACTATGTCGCCCTTTGCAAGTCTCTGCGTCTTCACTGGAACGTGCCACTTTTTTAATTCCGCCCCTGACAGACTCGCCAGCTTGTACTTAGCGCACTCTCTTTTCGAGTTCTCTATTAATCTGCATTTTAACTAAACTTCTGAACATTAATGCTGTACACCGTTCTTAATGTAAGCCGTAATAGACCGGCGTCCAAGTAGCGCAGCGATATTTCGATAGTTCTTCCAACCGGGTCAATGCAAAATGATCCAGGATAGCGCCATATTCCATACCTTGTACCACCGAAGGGCTAATAGAATCACAAAAAGGCGGCCAGTTTTTATGTTGTGTAATATTTCGTATAGTGACGCCGTGAGCGAATCTTTGGACGCGAACGTAATGGCCCGGCAGTTGCTCACGTTACTATTAAGACAAGCCGATATTCAGCGCTTTCCCTGTTTCTAAGGATTCATGACCAGATCGGGGTGTTGCCAAGGCTAATTAGTCTCGATGCACGATAGAAAGACCGTAGCTATAAAACATCGCTACAGAGCGAAAGATCGGAGCGGTCAAAACTCGTATTTAGCTAAACGACTTTTTGTCCACCTATTATCCTCTTTCTGTGAATGTGTTGAATCAATCTATATTTTTCAGATATTAACTAATAATTTTTACTGTATATCTGTTTATGTAAACTGTTTTCTACGAGCCAAACCGTAATGTTTTCGATTCACGAACCGGACGGTCGATAGAAGACCATTTCGGGTGCAGGAAGATTAGCGAGGAGATTTTGTTGTTCCTTACAAATACAATTCCGATGGAACGTAACTGAATTTCGAAAAAAATCATTCTTTTGCGCGATAGGTAAACTATCATTGCTTACACTGAACATTTGTTCTGCCCCTATGGTGTCGCATTACTATCATTCATAGGTTACATCTTCATGCGGCAATAAAACCCTACTTAGAATTTTCCGAATCGAAAACGTTTAGCATACATCAAATAACGCTAAGTCCATGTTATATGAATATGGCATATTGATTCCGCACGCGCTTTGAACCAGTTTCGGCCAACCTTCGATCAGCCATACGTTTTATTGGTCTACCTAGATGAATCATCGTGAAATATAGGGTGTTCGGCGATTCACCGGAACGTTTCAAACTGAGCTATCGAGTGCGCGCTGGCAATTCTAAGGTAAACATTTATAAGGGCCCATTCTACACCAATCTGGTCACAAAAAAAGAACATATCGCAAAAACAAGGATGAAAAGTTCCAAATCCAACAACGCTAGACAGAATCCTGCGAGTAATTGGAACGAGCGGGTGATTAGGGGTTTCGTTTATAGAGTTCCCTTGTAGAGGGTAGACAATTTTAGATGGACAGGTCGAAGTACATTTTCTGATTGGAAGATTTTACTTTTTTGTGAGTAGACAGCTTTGCAAGACAAGATTTGCAGCGGCTTTTCTCGGGCGTGGCCATCATGCTGAGGTAAGAGACAATAATGCCAAGCTTAATGGCTCAAAATTATGTTTTTTTGCTAGTTTACTTAAGTAAGCTTCAAACGTTTCGATAGCATTGTATAATCAAATTTACAAATTCGAGCTTGCCATAAGGTTAGAGCCATCTTTTATGTACGTAGCGTCCAAGTTAATCTTTTCCGTAAGTTCCATACATTCTGATTACTTTACAAATACAATTCAAAGGCAAATCATTTAATAGCTGGCCTTTATATTCACTGATTATTTCTTGCAGGTCCATCAGAAGCTATATACTCTGTCTAACAATCAAGGCCTGCCGAGGGCGTCGAAATTAATGTTTTGGTGCCCACAATAAAGGCGCGCTTTTCTACCTAAAAAGCTCTGTCGTGAACACTGTTGAAACCGATAGTTTATACCACTTATTGACATGTGTACAAAGAATGTGGTGGAGGCAATTGAAACGGAAGGTGGCTAGTTTCACAGCGGCGATCTTGCTTCATATTATCATGTCGGTAGAGAGCACCACAATCGACCAGACTCACTATTCGGCCAATTTCACTTCAACATCTTAAGTTGTTTATAGGAACCACTGCCTCTGATCGTAATCTAAGGGGGGTATTTGTCTCTCATATCACGCCGGTTTTTACATTTTTCCTTTAACAGAATTTTACTGGTAGGTTTTCAATGATGAGGGTTGCATAGGCTAACTGTTATCAGAATACCAGATTGAGAAAACACTCCACGTTTTGACGTGCGACATAAGGAGTATGAATGGGTTATTCGTTTGTCTATTTGTCCGAACTTTCACGAGCAGAAACCAGAGATTCGGACTTTTCCTGTAATATTACACAAGATACACAACCTTTTCATAGATACATGTACTTACGTTTTTTAAATATTTAATAAATGTTACACAGACACACACACACACACACACACACAGTGTCAATAAATGAATTATGTAAGATATGACAGGTGTAAGCCAACATGCTTCCAAAAAAAATATCGGATATCTTCCAGATAATTTGAACCTGAAGGAGAAAGGCAACCTCATGAAATGCAAGGAATTATACATCCCCTATCGATAATCCCACGTACATGTAAGCATGTCGGATGCTGAAATCTCTAAAGTGGGACCGCTTGACTGACTCGTGACGACAGTAAATTTATCTTGCTAAACCGTACTTTGTTCTACGTTCGTGGTGTAGCAAATAAATAAAGTTCCGACTCGTTTGTATCATTTACAGGCAGGCACGTTCGCTTGACTTGGTAAAAGTGCTCCAAGAGATTTTATTAGCTCAATCAGATCTAGGACGTTCATATAGTAACACAGTATTACCTTTAGGTAAAATATATTATCATAAATGGTTTATTCTCTTACCTGACAAAGAACGGTGTGCACAAAGAACGCTGAGCCTATCACAGTGTAGGACTTTAACGCGAATGTCAATGACATTGTGTTGATAATAATGTTATAAAGTCGTGATAAATTTCAATAATACAGAAGAAATAGGTGTCAAGTTGAAGCAGTGAAGTTAGTGGCGATTTTTTGCACAACCGATAATAGCAAGGCATGCCACTCCTTGTGCACGATACACTATTACCAATTCTCTTGGTCTTTACCCTTTATCATTAGAATTTCTGTTGAACGTCGCTGATGTCGTCTACGCTACGTACACATGCATGGTATGTTTAGTAGTCGAGGTAGATCGTCCTAAAGACTCCACGCCTGCGTTCAGGGTGAGTTTGTATACAAGTTTCTATACAAATAAACAGACAACGGGATGAAACGCAGTACCCATACGAAGAGAACTCATACATAAGACAACGTCTGTAAAACTCGCACACGGCGCCCGTCGCATACCGAATAATTGAAGCTGTCTGGCCAAACAAAAAAACACAAATAACCAGTCGCCAATCGAAAAAACAACCGAGAACAGCAACCTTAGAGGAAGCCGCAGTGCATAAGTGATCCTTGTTTTTAACGCAAGACCGCCTGCTTAGCCGCGCTGGAAGGGTCGCTCTGCGAGAGACGACCAGTTTCAGAGGCGCTGTCCATCTGTTCGTAATCTTCTGCGCCACTACCACGGATACCACTCTGTTTAGAACAAAGCAAACAACGTTGTTTCTTCCGCTGCTGCTGCTGCTGCTGCTGCTTGCTCTCGCGTGGCTGCTGGCACCTAGTCTGCATACGGACCCTCCTCATAGAGTGAGAGACAACAAAAACAACAATAACAGCAACAATAATAACAACAGCAACGCCAACAACAACAGAAATTAACGCAGCAGTAGCGGTGTTGTTCGACTACGCGAGAGAACACGCTAGAGAAGAACAAGTACAAGATAGAATCAAGTAGCAAGAGTAGCAGCCAAAGAGAGAGAATACCTCGGGTAGACGATGACGAAGGAGCAGCGCGCGCGAGAAGAGGGTACACGTGATCCACACGCCGTCTAGCGGCATATTGACGAACTAGACAAATAGATGGCTAGGTGATGGATAAAGAACGACAATTAAAACGTTCCGACAGAGACGGGTATAGGTATGTACAATGTGTCTAATAGGAGGGATAGGAAAGGGGCGGACAGAAAGGATGGGCGGACAGCGATGCTCACAAAAGGTATTCAACGGTGGTACGAATGAGATGGCTTAAGACGAAGACGACTAAGGTTGAATCCAATATTGTGTTTCCGTATTTATAGACGGTTGTTGTTTGATAGAGCTCATGACGTTCTGCACTGGGAATCTAATAAGAAAATTCGCAGCGATCACCTATTAGCTAAAGGTGTCCGGCTGGTTAATATGGAACTAGTCCTGCTGACGACATCTGTTAAACGGACCATAGCTCTCAAGCGATTTCTGTCACATTCAATTTTTTCCATGGAGTGTAGCCTATGGTGTGGGCAGAAATTCGACCAGCTTCTAACGATCGTTTGATTCGGGTAGTCCATTTTCATATTATAATGAATAGATTTAAATGGTGTATTAGTGAACTAGAATTCGAATTGTCTCACTTTTAGCAAGCTAATTCATGGCCCTTGTAGTATAACGAGTAATTTAGCTATAATCCTTATAATCCGCTATATATGGGGATATAGAGGCTCTATGTCCCCAGAAGAAGATATTCCCAACTTAAGAAATTATCACACTTCGAATTTCAGGCAGTTTTTATTAGTTTCGGTTCTTTATGAATTCCAAGGCGCTATTACGTAGGGAGCATTAATATTAGTGGTCTTCTTTTTTTTTGTTTCGGGTATGCCCTTCATCTATTCTCTTACGCCTCTTCCTTTCTAGTTGTTCTTTTCTGTTCATCATTTCCTCAAAGAAAGACGTGACTTTGGCCCGTGAGTATTAGTGGTCTATCTTTTGGCAAAGTCTTGGCAAATACTATTTCCATTTATATGGAATTGGCAGCTTAAACATTAAATCGTGAAAAGAAAATTTCGAAACTATTAAACCAACAATTAACGCTGGTCAATCTTAGGCAGTCTACAATCGGCAATGATTTAGCCCTGAGCCGAATGAATAAGTGGGTTTTCTCTGGAGTTGAAGTAGTGTAATAGCTAAACACGTACCGGCTTAAGAGCGAATGCACGAAAAGAACTTGACAAGGTCAGCTTTTGATAATATTCGAGGGGTCACCAGGGCAAACGTGAAAAAAACACTTACAATAAGTACACTTACAAGATAGCTGATCTCATATGGCTCACGAATATTGTTAGGACCTGTACGAGCATTCTCGTTTTCGACCAGCTCGGAGAAACGTTAGACGAGGACGATACGTCTACATATACGAAGTCGTCACATTATACGCAGCATCAAAGTGAGGTCTGTGAACTAATAGCCGATAGATAATGACATGTGACAATACCGACGACGGCCTTTAAGATGGGGTATGTATGCTCAAAAAAAAAACGGACATCGTTCGTTTTACAGACGGGTATGAACTGTACTCCCTATATGAACTATATGAATATATATATAGTTTTTTTCTTTATTTAATCACCCTTGTCGTGCTGTATACGACGTCGCCGGGGCTTGAACCGACAACGCCCGATTTATATATTTTAAACAGTACTTCAAGCTTCTTTGTTTATTAAACCTGCAATTTTCCGTGTGAATCAGCCAAGGTGATCTTGCGCCTTTCATTGTTATAATTGCCCTCACTAATTTTAGTACTATTTATAATGTTCTAGTAACCGTTCATAACTATCACACCTTGTGGCCTAATAGGTGATCGCTAATTGGTAAATAATGCTATTTGGGTAAATTTGTGTGTTTATGTTATGTTTTTATCAAGTGTTTTATGTTATACGACGGACTTTGAAATGCATGGCTAATACAAATCAATGCTTGGATAATGGTAGGATAACTAAAATTACTAAATAACTATGCTACAATACTAGCCAACTTTTATCACGTTTTGGTGTCCATTGAACAACTTTTCGTAATTATCTCTTCGGTACAGCATAAAGGACTGACCTTCACTAGGAGTTTTAGGCGAGTTGCCTTCCGCTAAACTGATATGGGGTTTCCCCAGCAGACCCATGAAACGATATGGTAACCATTTGCCAACACTAAAACTTGAACCGCGATGCAACGCTCGTAAAGAGATGCCTATAGAGAGTCAGTCTACATTGCCTTATACTGTTATTATAATCAGCAATTGCTGGCGACGAAGTTGTTCTGTCCACCTTGTAAGCCCTCTTTTCTATACAATATCGTTCCCTGTGGTTACCACCATGCCAGAAAATAAACGCAAACTATTTGTATATGATGGATGTCACAACTATAACAGATAGGATGGTGAGATAATACTTTTGTTCATAGCCACGCTAGATTCTCTCACAATGAAGGTATTCATTAACTAAGATCTATAAACCTGCTTCCATATATAAATTTCTAAAAAGTTTATTTACAGCCGGGAAATAACTTATACATACTACGGTTAAGCAGTTAGAAAGAGCCCAGTTATATAGGTAGTTATACCCTGCACAGTAGAAGGCGAACCTTCCCAGTAAGCAACACATTTACCCTTGCTATATCAAAATCTCTGTACAACACAGGAAACGTATGAAAAGCATGTACTAACATTAGTCAACTAAATGAAGGCGTCTAAAATATAAGCCCCTAACCCTTATAGATCATTGGACCAAATCTCAAATGTAAATAAGACTTGCAATTTTTATTGCAAAAAATTGGATTTACATAGGGATAAACTTGAGCTCTGTTAACCCTTTCGTGTGTATTTTCTCCCCAAATAGGAAATACATTACATTTCTGAGATTTCCTTTATTAGTCACTCTTTAGACGTTTTCAGTAAAGTGTGTTTAAGTGTAATAAATATCTATAAATTCTTTTTATCTATTACGGTACAAATTATTTTAGTATGCATGAAATAGTATGTATGTAAAGTATACTAATATGATAATATGTAAATGGTAATCATACGACGTTTTCATGTGGGAGGTCTGCCAATTGAACCTTCTGTATACCCACGAAAATACGTCGTCGTTTTCTCATACTTATATATAGGAGATAAAAAGTAGCCAATCACCTGTCTAACAAATTCGTACGCCGTGTTCATTTATTTCATCATTAGCGTCACCATAATCTATGTACATTCTTTTTTTTTTTACTGTGAGTAGAACTGCCATATATATATGTATATATATATATATATATAAGAAGTATTAGCTAAAAAGTCTCGTTTAACATCTGTTTAACTGCATTTTGTAATTACATGGTCCGGCGCTGATGTGTCAAAGCTTTATGGAACTGCCTTGAAGGACCTTAAGTTGTTCTTGTAAATGTTTGGGACCATCGTTTGCGAAACCGTCTCCGTCATGAACAGCGACCGATGGCGCATAGGTGTCTGCAAAAAAAGTTTGTAAGATATATATATATATATATATATATACGTAAACCTGGCGTAATGAACATTTATAAAGATCCAGAGTATGTATGAAGATCGAACATTTATGAAGGAAGAACGACACAAACGGCTATAAACATCTTAAGCTCTTCACAGTGTGAGATACTACAGGATGAGATATATTGCGACTCACATGTGGGAAGCGCAAGGCTAATAATGAGAAAAAAAACAACGTCGATTCTCTCTTGACTCCTTTACAAGGCCTACAGCACCTGACCGTGATGCTTGGTCGTCCTGCGGCTTATTGTCCTACAAGACGGTAGGTTATTTGTGGATGTTATTTATATCTATATGTAATGCAAATACTTACTTTTCTTTCTCACCTCGATATCTGCAACTTTATTGTTGCCAGCGCTGACTTTTGCACGGCATGCCTGAAGTACGAGTTTTTCAATTCGACCGAGCGGAGCTTCGACCAGTAGGAAGAGGAGGTATGCAACAATAAGGCTCCATATCGTGGTACTGAATGAACGGTTGAGCTAAGATGCCGGAAACACGAGATCAATAAACGTGTCCTATTTTGAACGCTTTGCAACACCAGTAAAGCAGCATCATTGATCTATTTTAAAAATAATGCCATCATGCTCCAGAGAACACTGATCCTTGCTACCGAAATCGTTGAGTTTCTGGCATGTTTTTTCTTCTTTGTTATTTAAATTCTTTTATTCATATAAATCTACTATAACATCGAGGACTGACGATACTCTCTTTCTGATATTGGGGATTGTCTAGCGTTTAGCCCACTGTGTTATAATATGAAAGCTGGAAGTATGGACATATTTTGTTTAGATAAACGGTTCTATGAAATGCACCCTTCAAGAGTGGATTTTTGAATTTAATGCGCCATAATTGAGACTAACTATTTAAGCAGTATTCAGTCGTACATTTTTTTCAAATGAGCGAAAGGCTATTTTTTTTTCCTTGCAAAACTTAGCCTGCCTTCACCTCACCCCTAGAATAACTTTTGCCCCATTCGGTCTAATTATAGGTTCATAGTAGACTAGTTTTTCGTAGTAAAGATGTAATTAGTCGTACCATAACAAAGACCCTATAGAAGAGACGTTCTCGGGCGGTGATGAACTCTAAAAAGATAATTGGCACATGCAGCAGGAATACTCCAAATGAGAGACGACTCAACGGTACAAAAACAGGTAATGACAGGAAACGTGTGATAGTCGTGGCACGGCCGGTAGCGCAACAGAACGTCAACCACATTAAGAATATGCCCCAAAAAGGTCGCTGGAACACGGCGAAAAGAACCTATCAACATAAACAAAACACACGTACAGACGAATGAGAAACACCAGAATCACTTGGCTCGATTAGTACGCTGGCCAAGAAATGAGCGGTCTGTTTTTGCCTACAGCTGTTCGTCCACTGGCATAACTAGTTAAACTTTAATCACATATCTAGTATTTCGTTTGAGCAGTTAATCTTACTATTTTGTGTATAACAGCTGTTAATTTACCTAACTTCATTCTGTTGTAACGTGTGACGGGTAATAGTTATCAGCCACTTTGTAGCTACGTTGTAGCCAAAGCTACGTTGTACTGGCTTATGTAAGCCATTTCATTTTCATAATGATGCTATTTTTTCTTAACTGCGAGCGGATATTTCGGCACAAAATGAGTCTAAATTTTAAGAAAAGCCTATTTTTGTAACTGGGAAAAAACCTATATAAGGAAGTTGGATAGCAATAAGTTACGAACACTATTGCTTGTAATAAAACGATGCATCCTTAGAATGTAAATTTGCTTGGCTCATCCTAATTACCATTCTTAATAAGTCCTGTAATAATTCCAGCAATAACAAAGGCTTACTGTGCTACCGTGTTTTTAATTGTTTGGTTATGCACGATTGGACTAGATCGAATGCTCCCTGAATCTGCAGTTCCTTTAGCTGCAGTACTTGAGCGTACCTTGATTGCTTCCCCGGGGTAGTTTCCACTATTCCACGGATGAGTTCCGAAAACGGCAATCAGGACACAAGTAGATGTGACAGCCCAACAGCAGAAAGACATCCAAAATGAGATCTTTTTCTGAAAATAGTCATTTGGTTCGACAGACGTTCTAACGATTAATGGCATACTGCACGTTCATGCAGACCGCGTAAGCAATTATACCTGTATTTCCTGTCGCCAGCTCCACTGTGCCTTCTATTCGGATCAGAGATCAGTTAACGGCTTTTTCGACAAAACATTTGTCTTCGATCGTACAAAATACTGTTTATCATATTGTCAAAGCAAGTATCCCGCTGAACTCTTCCTCCTTTGAACTTGCCATCACCATTACGACAATAGTTGACTCGAGCGAACAGAGTGCAACGAAACGGCGTATGGCCATCTGTCGTGTACAGGCTACGTTAGTCAAGAACCCATTTTTCAAGGTGGAAAAGCTATGTGTGCGTTTGTCCTGCCCGTAGTACCATTGCGGGGCACTGTTGTCATCGTCGGCGTACGTAAGAAAGTGTTTTTGCAGCTGGCAGATTACAGGTGAACTGCAACAGGGAATGATTTCTATGCATAGTGGATTGCGCTCTTATCTCTTAAAAGCTACCGATTAATTATAGAGCGGGGTTGGTTGACTTCGCACGAGAGTAGGCGACCGGTACCGTGAACGGCGCATTGAAGGATAGTATTTGGTTATTATTAGTAATACCTCTTTGTAGTCACGGATGATGTATACGGTGGAAGTTCCCATAAAGAACATCACAGCGTGAACTGGCGTGTAAATATAGAAATAAAATATAGTTAGCTTGATTGTTTCCCACTGTTCGGCCATTGGAACAACAAACGGTGTGTAAACGGTATCGTAAATGTAGATTGCGATGAAGAGTGCACAGGTCACCGAATAACACGTCATCATCCAGTGAACAGTTTTCGCTTTCCTGGAACGGGAAATTCAACGTTCTTCTAAGGCATAGCTCAGCTTAGTGAGATTTACTCGCAGGCTGGATGAAATGTCTACCTTACAGCCACCATAGTTCACTGATTTGCTGCATAGATAGAAATGATTTGTTTAAATCAATTCAGTTATCAATATGATCTCGTCGTTTAGCTACTTTTGATTTAAGTAAATAGTATTACGCCGCGTATCACGGGACACGAGCGATGGGCCACAAGTGGGGAGCCTGAATGCTGGAAAGCTTTCGTTGTTTCGAAACGTTTACGTTGGATAATTGCTTGCCAATATGTGCTAAGTCTTATCATTCTAGCTCGAATCGTAATTAGAGAAAAGTATAGCGGGCTGTGCTTCAGGACTCTCCAAGGTATGTCCATGTAATCAACTCAACTCGCCGTTTTGTTAGAACAAGTGTTATGACGACCACGAAAAATAGCTGGAAGTCCACGGAAAGATACCACAGAGGTCCCATACAGGGCGCGCCGTTCGCCTGCAATTCAATACAGATATGACACAAGTAATGCTTAGTGGGGTTGATACCACGACTTCCAACGAATCGAGTCCAAAGCGAAGCTAGGTCTATGCATCCGTGCACTTAGTAGATGAAAATGGCTATATTTTCCACACACATTTAATAATATATGCTAAGACGGATAGCTAAGCCTAACATTCGTCGTGGATTGTAACGGAACAGAGCTACACACCGAAATGAGACTTTACGACTAAAAGAAAGTTGTTAAATGAATAAAAAGTTACATTTATGGGAGCTAGCTATCAGAGTGCATGTCGATGTGGGTCAAAGATAACGAAGTCAGTTTTCGGCAGACACGTACGTATTGGCCGGAGTTATAATTGCGAATCTGCAGGAGTACCGCCAACCAGTCATTGTCGAATTGGCTTTTGTAGTCCTCATACCACTCCATAACTCTGGGACCATCAAATACAACAGGTATCAGGAACAGGATGACCATAACAAAGAGTGCTGGCAAAGTACCACGTATAAATCTGCGTATAAGTGGTATTACAGCTACAAGTACAGGATTGTCCATAGGTTCTCTCAGAATATTGAACGTCAATAGAAAGCCGCTGTAAAAAGTACAAAAAATAGATTAAGGCCTAACAAATACATGTTTTTAGGATTACATCTAAAGATGGCTAGTTGGACGAGGATCAATTACATATAAACATATCGAATCTCCAAGTATCATATACCTGTAGCTATATCTCGGACAGAGCGAAACAGCTTCCGTAACTGTCTCCGATCGAAATCGGTCCGGTTGAATATCGGTAGATGTTTTTAAGCAAGTAAACTAAATAAAGCTTGAGTTTAGGCGTTCGTTGACGAAAACGTACGAAACAATTCGCATGTGATGCAATCGAAAGTCTATGGCTGTCTAACTTACGCGAGAAAAAGGAACGTATCAACGCAGAGGTAGGCCGACATAATGAAGCAGAACCAATAGCTTTCACCGTAGTGGAGTGCATTTACGAGTCGAGCTGCGGAGTTCGCCAAGCTTGGTTAGGATCGTACAAGGTATAATCTGCTAATTTTAAATTTATTCAAGTTATTAATTTGCATTGCTATTGTATCTACAGTTTTTTTCTTTTTTTTTTTCATAGGTTCCAATTTGTCCACACCTAGAAAAAAAGGTCTACTATAAAGCGAACGACGATTTCGTTGTTTTTGGATCTCCTACACAAACCTACTTTCCGGGCCAGGATCACGAAAATCTTATGTATGAAGGCTAAAATTAAAGTTAGATAAAAGGATTCTAATTAATTTCTATAGTATTGATTCTGTGGGCACAAAGCAAACAGGATTAAGGCATGCCTCCAATTGCAAGTACTTACATGTGCTGTTGAGGTTGAATACGGAAAAAGAATGGCCAACAACAACGCCGTAGATGGAAATGAATCTGATTCCGTGGAAGAATCGGTAAGCATAAGCGTCGCTATTAGGATTGTTATTTACCTTAAAGCGTTCCCGAAAACACGACAAAATATATTGATCGATTTTTAGTTCTGGTCCTACATGTATTTATCTATGTCTATGGTCGCCATTGAACTTGACCATCAAGTGAAGGTCAGCGATGCTTACAAGCAGCTCGGATGACGAAGATAGGCTGGTCACGCCGCAACCATTTACAAGAAATAAGTATAGCTCAATTATCCAACGGCAGTAAGCTACAAGACCACTCGATGACTAGAATGGGACACCGGAATCAACAAGCAAAGCTAGAATCACTGATGTCCTGTGGTCGAACTGCCTAGTCAGGATAATAGCCAAGGAGTAAAGGGGTGACTCGAGCGATGCAGTGGATTTATGCAATGAGTTAATGGGGCTAGTGTAAAAGGTTGATCGAATCTGAATCGACGAGGTAATCGTACCGAATCACAGTGCAAAAAGCGGTCAAATACTGAGCATATCTGGTACGGTGCGTTAATCCACCGTCCCAATGATAGCCACTCAACTCTAATATCACTAAAGACATTGTTATTAAAAGCATTTTGCTCGAGGTCTAAACTTGATTTTCCCTATTATAATCTTAACTGTGAAATCTTTTTTCGATCCATTTTCTATATAGTATGGTAAAATCAAAATACAGCTGAGTCGTGCGTCAGTATCTAGCTGGCCAACGCGATTTTCCAAGGTACCTCCAAAAGTAGACTGGTATTAGCCTTTGCCGAGAAACAAAGCACGATACGCTTCATGAGACTCGTTCGCTCTGATTGCTTCCCTTCGCTCTTTGTTGGAAGCAAAATACTGCAGACGCATGATGGGTAGAAGTCGAATGCTGTTCCCAAGAATACTAACATGACCACGATACACAGAATACATCTAGAAACACAAAAATAACACCAGTATCAATAGCGACATATTTTAGCCTTCTACCGTCCCTCAGTACCCCAGTTCGCTTTGTGAAATGGTCTTAAATGTTGGCAGCAAAAGTGGGTTTCATATTATGGACAATCAAATCGCTTGTGATCATATATATATATATATAGGTCTATAAGCAAGAATTGCTTATCGACAGATAGCTCTGGTAAGAATACAGGGCTGGTTCTAAGGGCTGAGCGTCGCGTACAACATATGCGATCGAAAACCATAACGGCAAAGCAAAGAACGGCCCGTCAGTTTGCGTCTTCGTTGAATTAGGCTGCCATTGTATAGCTACAAGCAATTTAATGGCCAAATGGAAACGAACTATTGCTGTCGCGCGCCAAATTTAAAAAATAAATTATTAAACAAAACGCGCTAAGACCTATTTTCGTAATACTTGTAAATCACGATTTTAGTCGCTACTGGGTTAATTGCTTGAAAATGATTATGAAGTTCAATTCATTGCAAACACATTGTTTTTATCCTTTGAATTGGCTCTAATTTAAAACAACAGTTTGGCTTTATCTCAATCGTTTTAGTCTGCGAAGATTCATTTAGCCGTATATAGTGCAGGTATCTCTCGCTGGCTGTCCCGACCCCAGCCTGCATCTGAACTATTCCACAAATTGGATGATTCTGACGTGTTCGCTTCCTCATCTGAACACTGATCTCTTTTCATAAATATCATTAGTTGCCCTCTTTATATACAGCCGACTTATATAGCTGCGGTAAACAATAATAAAAGAGATATGAACGTCATTTATGACGCGCCCTGTCGTTAAGCGATAAGAAGAAGTAGATAATCGTCCGGAAATGGCAAGGGCTTCTCATGCAGTGGGCGTTTCTCGGAGTTATTTCCTTTGCTGATGACAACTGAAACTCCATACCGCATATTTTTTCCTATGCCGCCATATAGAAACGATTAGATATTATGAAATCAAGTTGATAAAAAAATACTTCTTCCATGACGCTAGAATCTCACAGAAACATAATTGAAATTAGGTGCTGAGGCAGTGGACGCGGCGTTACTGATTTTTTCCTCTTTCTTCCATTTCTGATTGCGGATCATAAAACGTTTCGATGTAAAAAGTAGCTACTGCAAAGAAAGGTAATAATATACGTTGCCCTGTGGCAACATTGGCAGCTGTCAGCTGGCAAAAAATGCATATCTGCTTGGGTACTATGGACAAATCATAGAGTATCAACGTTGAACACGACGATGAAATAATATCATTACTATGTACGCAAATAAAACGGTGAATGAATGAATGAATGAATGAATGAATCAATAAAATCTGAGATTCTTAAATTGTTTTACTGGGTTTATTCAGCAAATGGATATTAAACGATGGTGTTCCTCCTTTAGAGTGAACTATGTCTCATAAAGTTGACTCTTGTTTGATCGTCCCGTACCAATGCGAGGCTGAAATCAGCGCGCTGAAGATTTCTATACGCTAACACGACGGTATCCAAATCTGAGTATTAGGATTGACTTGATTCATAGTATAAAAATCGCAGCATGTCAGCAAGCAAACGTCTCTTCCAAACACGATCCCCGATCTGAGATACGGTCTATGTTTCGTTTGCACAATGGCTGAACGACAAATCTTCTTGGACAATCCAACGTTACCCCTCAGTTTTCTCTACCTTGAAACTGTTTCTTACTATTCTCTTATTTAAAAGGCACGAAGCAACTAATAGATACCGAGCGACTAATGAAATCAATGCATAAGTGCTCTAATATTCTAGTTTATAACGGCCGTTTTTTTGTTTTACGGTAACTTTATCTGAGCCATTGTCGTCGTTAAGCGTATTCGAAGGCTCTGTTGATTTCTGCCGTTCCGGGGTAGGCATGGAGTGTTCACAGCCACTGAGGCTTCATCAAGTCTGAATGAAAGGTAACCATTGATATAATTACGTGCGATTTGAGTCGCCCCACGGACACAGAGCGAATCGTTCTTTTTTTGTTCGCTGCCCTGTGCAATGAACAAATACGAGACGGCTCGGGCTGGTAACGTAACCGGTAACCTGTATGCATTTCGAAGCAAGTGTCGCGTGGCCGGGTGTTTTGTTTCTGGACAAATTTGAAAATATAGCAAATTAATTAGTGGCGGTTTGCTTGCGTCGTTCTCGTGATGCCACGACCGTGGGCAGATGCGCCTGTACCTTATTCGAACGAGGACGATACGAGAACAAAGATGATAACAAGTGTGTCGACGGTGGGAACATACGGCGGCTGATCCCACCACCTAGGTCTATTAAATCCTGGCTTATACCCCCCATTCAGCCGGTCCGAAGCGACGGGGCCAGAGTTCCCCTCTTTCCCGCGTAGAAGAAATAAACCTCTGGCTAACGAAAAGATACCGGCTGGGTTTGCTTGCAGATGGACAGAACACATGAGAATCTATCGAAGCGAATTAACTGTTTCCTTTTGGATATGTCATGCCGTCGGATTGACAGCAGGGCGCGATGGCCGCAACTTGGTAGGTTCGAAAAGAAAATAAAAAGTAGACCAACGTTTTATTAGCCTGTCGATCATTGTAACAATAGTAAAGGTAATGATAATTGGGATCGTTGCTACTGTGATTAGAGCAACAATAAGCCTTTTTTTCACAAGCGTGAGAAAATTAATCCGATGTTGAGCCGATGACAGTCGTTGGCAGCTGGCCCGCTCCATACAAGCAAACCATTTGGCACTTTTAATCGAAAAAAAGTCTCGTTCCACGTGACAAAGCTACTTAAATATAAGTCTCCCAATGGGGACAGTGCGGCGCGTTTCAGACATTGGCTGAACTGATGCCATCGGACTAGCTAGATGTCTTATGTTTGTTTTCAATTACTCCCGTCTCTACAAATGGACCGTTTCGATCATAGAATCTTACTAAACCAAGTGTGTACAGAGACGCTTGAAGGATGGTGATAGAAAATGTTCTCTGGCAAAGAAAGCTACACAACTTTTCTTGCCCTGTTATAATGGACGGAGGATGAACATTACGTTCGAATCAGTCTTGTCAATCGCACTTTGACTGATATATCAGCCGAAATGAAATAAGACTAAGTTGTTTATCCTCATATACGTACGAAAGTTACGTAGCTACCTGAACTATGGTTTCAGTTTTACAAACCTGTATGATATGGGCACCGCTTTTCTAGTCAACTCACAGAAGCGCCTAATTCCATCACGTATGCGCGAACGCTACGTAGACGTGTGTTATGTTTGTATTCGATTCGGATCATTCCATACGTGTTTGGCTGTTAATGTTGCATAGCGAACGTAAAAACGTATGGAAATTTTTATAAGCTCGATATAATCTCTTCGGCAATACATGCGCAAAATGTAAGTAGACATATGAAGCCTCACAAAGCAAATATCTGACGATTGTCAAGCGATCGTGGCAATCCATCGACGCAGTTCGCTACATTGACCTTCCCGAAAATCACAGGGGCCAATCTATCGCCCAATTTCTGCAAATCTTCACGAGAACAGTCCGTCGACACGCATACGCCAATGAGTATTCCGGGGACGTCATTGGAGTTTTGGAATGAGATGAATTTTGGCGTCTGCAAAAATCATACATTTCGAATTTTGAAATTTAAAAACAACACACATTTTGATGTATGCGATCATTTCATTCTAGTTCTTGGGTAGCTCCCTAATAAACCAACCATTCCTATAATGACGCATCCATTTGGGCGCTCTTACTAATACAAGGTGACAAGCAAACGTACTCTAGCAGTTAGCTGAAACGTAACTCTGTATGTAACAAACGCAAGCTCCCACTGAGGGGTTGACAGTTTTCCATATACACATGCTTTAGCCTGATGAATTTTTCACAGTGAAAATACGCCGGCCCTCAAGTGTACCGTGTCAGACATACTTGGGACAAATGTTGAACCTTAAAAATCGATACTCCTAACTAATAGGGGGGCTTAGTGATATTTCAGTTGTTCCTATATATTGTTACGATGAATTTCAGAATCAGCATACTTACCCTGGGATGTGAGAGAGCTGTGATATTTAGCAGACCACGAATATAGTCGCTATAGGTTTTTATATAGATATTGCAATATTGGCCTCGCAGAGTTTCTTCGCCGGTCTCTTCGTGATGCAGAACCGTCTCAAGACATTCGTCATAAGCTCCTATGTCTATTAGGGTTCCCTGGTGAAGGCCGGAAGGAAATTTTCCCGAAGCGTCGATTACTGAAACCAACATTGGCCTGCTTAGCGTCCATATATATTCTATGTTTCAGTGATTTTGGGTTATAGTAATTTCTTTGTAATTCTGCTACTGTAATTAAGGTGTTTTATCGGATTCTTTTGCATACTCAGTATGATTCACAGATGTACGGATGTCACAATGTACCACATCGTTATTGAATGCGACCCAGTTTTAGCAAGTAACAGCACTAATAGCAACAGTAAAAATATTTGAAGCTGTTAGAACACTTCATTATATTAGCACAAGATAGTATTCAAAGAAGTCACATTAATCAAATGCGGAAGAACAACAACACTAGGTATATCTTTTATTGCGGCCTATGAATTTTCTCAACTCCATAGGCTCATTCGAATTTTGAATTTTCGATTTATAACATATTCTCGTATGTCTCAGAAGGAAATTGATGCGTATGCACATATATCACTTCTATATCTATTCACTTGGGTTTTAGCAGGCCAACTATAGTAAGCCATAAAAAATTAAGAAAGCTAAGTGGCTAATAAACGAAGGTGTTTCGTAAAATTACAGCGACGGAAAGAGATAGCTCGCCGTATAGGCCTCATAGCCCGTGAAGGTTCTACGATTGGAAATTGGAAAGGTTGTTAGGTCAACAAGTTCTCAAGATGATGAGAAAAGAGCCTCAAGAAAATGAGCCTTTCCGAAGACCCCTATGAAAGCGAATGACGAGAATTTTGGTTTTGTGGGTATAAAAATATCATACTTGTAAATAAAATTCCTTACTTTTACGTTACAATACAATGACCCATTCCTACGCCGATTTGTGGCAGATTTTGAAATGATCGCAGAGAATACAATTGCTTCTCTACGATCACTTCAAACGCTTAACCAATGAATGGATACAACTTTATTGGTGAAACTTCACTCTAAAACAGACATACAGCTGCAGGTTCATACAGTGTATATTTATTGGGCTACTACAGCTTCGTAAATCATCATTTTTTAATTGAAGACTGAAGTAAAGGAGATGACCAAAAAAACTTTTCATTAAACAGACAATATTAGTGGGCGAAGTTTATTGCACAACATCTCTTGGTTTCACACCGCAAATTGGAAGGGGCTGCCTCAGAGGCTACCGTCGGAGACTCTCTTGTCCATCACACTGCATAGATATTGCTCCCACTGATTACCTTGTTTCTCTCATCAACGCCTCGTACATCTCAACAACGTCTTAATGGAAAAATGCTCCAAATCCCAACGTGATATCAAAATTGCCTTTGCAGACTTCATAGACACTTGTACCCTAAAGTTTTGGAGAAGCGGAATTCTTTTATTCACCACCCGAACGGCAGAACGTCATAATTGTCAGTCAGGTTTGAAATAACCAAAATAGCATTGAGGAAAGGTTTGAAGTTAGTATTTCAACTTTACTATTTGAAACTTCATGCGGAGCGACCTAAAAAAATAACTATCTTACACAACTCATCTAGTATATGTCGTTTTATATATGTATATTATATTAGGTTATCTCCGTTTTTTCCAAAGGCGTTCATTTGCCACTTTCCCCTCACTTGAGCCCTCAAGTGAGGGTTATATCTAATAGTCGATGCAAAAAAGCGTGCTACTACGGTATTATATTGCGAGTGCAATTTCGGCTCAGTTCTTCGACGCCTTCGGTATCATACATATCAGCAAATATGTTGCCAAAGGAGCCCGAGACATCTGCTTTGCGGCTAATGACACTTGTCGTTCAAAGATCCCAAAAGGGAGAAACCGCTCAAGGGAGAGCTGTTAAGCTTAAAGACAGTATCTTAGACCTAGGACACATCTCCCGTTCTAGCCGATCGTCTAATTTTGATGATTACAAACTGAACGCGCTTTTGAAAGAAGTCGGCCAACAAACAACACGGAAATTTGCCGAAAAAATCGGCCGCACCCCCATGACCGTCGTTAACCACCTCAACCCCATGAGCGTATACAAAACTTACTTTGGCTACCTTATGAACTCTCTGAATCCACTTAGATAGCATTGCTTCCCAGAATGTTCCGTCGCGTATCATGCGTCGCTCAGTCAACAATGAGCAATTCTTGCATAGAATTGACACCAGTGATAATAAATAGTATCAGTATGTCAAAATGAACCACAGATTGAGACAGGTGTCTCTAGGAAAGAAGCCAGGACTTCAACTATAATTGCAATGCTTCGCGTTTGGCGAGACCGCAAAGGACTAATTTGTTAGATACTATCTCCAATGGATTGATCGGCATATTTATTCCGCCCAGCTGAATTGAGTCGATCAGGCTCTTTAAGAGGAAGTCCCGACAGAAGAAGTCCCGTGATTCTGTGTCGTCCTGCTCCTTGATGATATGATGTGAGATCACACACGCTGCACATCGCTGCCTATCGAAACCCGTTTATTTGGATTTCCAATAGGAAGTCTTTGCGCTCTCCATATTCTTCGGGCCTTGCCTTAACCGTTTTCTGTTCGGGTTTTACTTTTAGCACGTATCAAGAATTCAAAACGTAGTTTTGGATCTGTTTCGAAACGGAAGCCATTATCTTGTGGCAGACGGCATACATTATTCGATGAAGAATATTGTGATTAATAGCTTATCATCACAGGAATAAAGGATACGTTGTTTTCGATCCAGTAACAACTACAGCAAGGACCTATTAGTTTGTAGATATACATATATAGAAATTGCGCCATCTAAATACGAATATCTATCTATCTGAGCCTATCTAAACAAACAGAATTTTTTGCACATATTAAAAGTGTCCCTCTTGACGGTCACGATTACTCAGCATAACCACCTCCCACCACAACTTAGAACTAAATCATTCGGTTATTTTCAATTTTTCTAAAATTTTCTCTCGATTTTTAAATATTAACCACTGCTAATGCTACAAACAAAAACATTCGAGTGAAATTAATTTTTGGCCTGATAGCAACCAAAGGCCAGAGGTTGAAACGACGAAACAATTTAAAATGTGCAAAAAAGAAGTTTCAAAGGGTCTAAGCGTTGGGTTTATCTGAAAAACTTCATTAGTAAGCAATATTTCCTGCTTTAGAGCAGCCGTCAAGCAGGTCTTTGCAGTCTTTCTCAAGCAGGTTTTTGAGTTTCTCTGAGGCTTTCCGAGCATTTCAAGTCGTTTCTGGATATTTCAGAACCGACAATGAATAAACAAAACAATGAATAATGTAAAACAACATTTTTAATTTCGTACAGCACGAAGAGATTAGATAGCAGCCAATATTTGCCGAAATTTTTTGCCATGATGAGTCTACCGCTTGCTTCTAGAAAAAAAAAATGATAGTACTTGCGTAAGACATTAGAAAAGGCCAGTTCTTTCTGGATAATTTTTCTGATACCAGGATGTATATATTGTATTTTTGAATGAAGTTCAGTAAATATATAGATATATATATAGATGTATAATGCTCATAGAATTTCATAGCTCAAATCAATTTCCACAAATTACTATGTTCTTCTTCGATGTAAGGACGAAGTGGACTCCCATATTGCAATGTCTCGTTCTGGATAGCACATGTGAGACATGCGCGCCGCGTATATATGATTAAATTGTTATAAGCAGACTTTAAAATCAAATAACTTTTGGAACTAGAGCGATCAATTTTCAATATGTGCGTTGTCATCAAGTTACCAGACAGCATAGTTTCGATTGGCGTGCAGTGGTAAGACACCTACGGTCCATAAGTCTCTTGAGAAACTCATTCATCTTTTTTAGTTTCAGCGAAAGTCTCGTAGTAGCACATACCCCTAATATCTATTGCAAGTATGATTGTCATGCCACATCTGAAACCCGACATTGCCATCGCACTCGATTTCTTCCGAGGGCATCACCATCGTTTCGCCAGGTTCTTTTCAGCTTGGCAGTAGAGATTGAAGCATGCCTCGATCATATGCTCCAGAAGGATTTGTCGATTAAAGCTACGTAAATTGCATATGGAATCCACCATACGCGCTCCAACTGATTTGGAGTCAATACATCGAAAACCCATTTTTTGTGGAGCTTTCGCATTGTCAATATTTGGATTACAATCCTGAAACACGCGACAACAAGGCCCTTACCCTAGGTTTTGCTCTTATGAAAATTTTCCTCGATTGAGGCAATGCGTTCATCTTCCGGGTTCCGACACATGGCTACCTCCTCACCGCCTATTAACACTTCAATTTCCATTCTTGAAGTGTCTTACGCCTTTTGCTTTTCGCTTAAGGCCTCCTCGCCTACAGTTTTCATCGATGTTCGATGAATTTCCGGAACGCTATAACCTTCGACGAGCAAAAATTTTACAATTGAGCGTTGATTTTCACGTGTTCCCTTGTAAACTCAACGTTTTCTCCTAAAACGTATTGGACCGGCTTCCTTGTAGAGGACTAGAGTATTCACCAGCCGGTTTTTATTTGCTAACCATACATATTTCGAGCGTTACTTAACCTCAAAGTTTTCGGGATTCATTTGTAACGGTCTAATGTATACAGATAACCTGAAAGCTGAATTTTCGATCAAAATGCAAAACCCTATTTGAGATTATATCAGTCAGCACGCTAGTATTATACAAGTGTTTTTCTCCGATCGTAAGTTACTTTGTCGGAAGCGACATTTCCGAGGTGTTTTTTCTTGTTAAATAGTGGCTCTTCTCTAAGCGATGAGATGGGCTGGGATGGCGTTTCAGATATGGTTTTAAGCCACATTTCCTAGATCACTGAGTGAATCAATTCGAGTGGAACGGTTTGTTTGATGACGGCTCTTAAGCAAGCATGATGAAAAAATGATCTGTTTTTAGGTATGTAATGATATTCTTAGCATTATTTTTATACTATTGGGAAGGACTGTTAGATGTTTGTGTCAGAATAAATTTGTTTACTGGCTCGGCCGGTTAGTTTCGCAGGGGTTTCTCGATTTGCGAGAGTAAAAACAACTGTCGACCGGATATTCGATGGCTGAATAACGAGTCTCTTACCAACCCCTCTTTTCCTTCTCCTTACCCAGTGTTCAGTAATAATTGAGCTAGTCGCATTTAATCAGGATGTATCATAAGACGCTGTTAGTGAGTATTTGGAGTAGCTGAGCAAGCAAAACTGCATTACACACAGAGTAGTAAATAATTAATACCTGGTTCACGCTTCCGTGGTTTTCCATACACCTACCCAAATGGCGTATTAGGTCATGCGTTGCTGTTTACCCGGGCCTACCCCTATACTTGTTATACAGTAGACGTTGCTTGTGCGTATAGAAATTCAGCGATACGCATGTAAAGTCTGCAACGTAAAGTGATCGATTCGTGCAGGCCACGACGGCCGGGCAAATTCTTTGCTAGCAATCATAGCATCGTCCACAGTGATTTGATAAGCCATCAAAATAGCGCACTCTCCATTTACTCGCTAGTTTCGGGTCAGCCCCTTTTGTCCGATGAAGTAATTTCACCAGATAACAGAATAGCGACAGAGACCTTGAAATTGATAGAATCTTATGTCATACACAGCTTTTACTCAGACGGCCTAATAACAGATTAGTAAACTGTCATTTCGTACAACACACAAACGTCTCTTATTCCATACTATGCTTTTTAAGATAGCAATTTCGTCCACATAATAATTTTACTGGGCAAATGGCGATATTACACAATGGATTGATAAAGATAAATCGTTCGTCGTATAATTCCTACATTTTAAGGACACCATTAGGAAAACTTGAAAGTCGATTAACTATCGAATAAAATGATACAATACATTTATGTAAATTAGCTAATCTGTCTAGATCTTCTATCCGTCTAGATTCTTCTTAATATTGATCTTCTTAACTTCGTAATGTGTAGTCATAGACTAGCTACGTGTAACATTCATAGACAACTTAATCGGCTCATTGCTTTCGAATCAACAGATCTATACAACTGAATAACCTAAATTTATTTCTTTTTTATCACTTGGATTTTTAGTAAAAGGATCGTAGGATAGCAGGCCGTCTTAACTAACAGCAACATAATCTGTTGCCCCTTTGTCCATCGTGCCTTCTTGTTTACTTACTAGTCTTTAAAGCGTTCCAGGTTACCTCACTTAATCACTAATGCTTGTACATTATAACGTTTGTATAATTATAGGCAAAAGACCATTTTTCGTACACCGTTTGTGCTTCGGTTACATTATATAGGCATCTACCTATAAACATTTCGCAATAATAATAGTTGGGGGAAACCTAGGTCCTGTCAGTGCGCAAGACCCATGTAGGTTTTGTTAGAATCATTACTTAGCTCAGTACGTGTCCAAATGTGATTCGTCTTCATTCATTGAAGTCAATTTTGCGTTCGCTGTAGATTGCGAGATGGGTTTAACAAAACTCAGGCCGACTAAGCTCAAACTATCAACTTTCGACGATATTACAAGCCAGCTGGAGAATACCAAAATGAATTATATCTGTTTTAAAATAAATTAGTTGTTAAAGAAATGATCACTAGTTATGTTAAAGTTTAAGTTGCAATTAACTTTAGAGCTGTAACTTGTCCACACCTGCTTGCTGTGCGAAAGGTTAACCCACCTTTTATGTATTTTTTGTGTTCGAGGCTCATTAGGAAGGTTAGCAAGCGCTTGAATGCATATAGCTCGTAATATCGACATTAAAATTGGGGCTTGACCCATTATGATAGCTGCGTCCTCGTACTTATAATAATAAAAAACTTCAACTAATCAGAGTACGTTTCCAGAATATTTTTTGCATCAAGCCCCGGCATAGAATGAACGTCTTTCATGTTTCCCCACCTATACATAATACAAATCCAACTAAGTTAAGAAACGTTCATGAAAAAACGAATGTTTTCTGGCAACCTCTGAAGTCGAGCGTGCAATAGCCGAAGTATGAATGAAGTATCATTGGTGGCCTCACCACAAATGTCTCCCGTTGTTCATGGATGAGTTAAGAAGCTCTGTTTAACAGTGCATAGCCACCGTCGCTCACATTAGTACTTAAAAAAAATGTGATCTAAAACTGGAATTTACCAGGGGCAATTGAAGTAAACGCAATGATATTGAAAAAGTCAATCTACCACATCCGGTAAGATGAAGGTCCGAATGTTTACTATACAACCATCATTTGTCTAATTAAGTGTTGCATAGAGGATTAGTAAGTGGTTTTCCCCTATTTAGGTGATATATAGCCTTAGCGCAATCTTCTTTACGGTTTGCTACCTAATTGCTTACTTGTTTGCCTAGGACTTAGAGCTCTTAAAGATATGTTTAAGTACGAAGTACCATAGGTATTTTAAAATAAAAGCATATATACAGTTTAAAAAATTTCACCCAACGCCTATAATGGGCATTGTAACCCTATATGCATGACGTCTCCCGGCGAACCTGACCTTTCAGCAACGAGCCGTCAGAGGGGCTAAATCAGGTCGCTTAATTCACTGCTCGAGCGAACGCTTATATATATATGGCACTGACAAAAATGATATAGCAAAAAAAATAAATAAAAGGTGCCGTAAACAAATTTCCAACACACCGTCGTTATTTATTTATTATTATTATTAAATCCAGTGAATTTGTCGACTAATACAGCAGTACTGGTCATTTGCAGTTTACATAACAAGTGAAGCCGTGCCATATTGGCTTAGCGGAGCGTGAACGTAGCAAATATAAGTTACTAAAAGGGTTAGAACTTGAGCCATCACTACTAAATCAGTCAACCCGGATTGGGTTTGAGTAACACTTTACTATTTGTGCGTTCTCTATACTGTCGACTCTATATACTCTGTTGACGAAAACTAGCTACTAGGGATTCGCCAAAATAGAACAATAATCGGATAGTCTAAAATTTTGTCACACATAAGGTCGATGTTGATCTCAAGGTGTCCTTCCGTCACGTTGAGCTTAATTTACTGCATGCTTTTTGTGCAGGTTTTTATCGATGAAAATTGTTAGTGTTATGGGTATAGTTATCTCACTGCAGGCTTTAAGTAGGAGCGGCTCTTCGAAAAGCGTTTCTCTATAATTTATTAAATAAAAGCTATAACAGCTACCTAAGCTGGCATATTATTGAAGTACATAAAATGTCTATTCGTTTTTACGTTTTTTGACAACTCTGCTCGTTTGCTGCGGAGAAAAATTACCTAATTCTCTTTAATGCTAATATTAATTACTTTTTTTCTATGTCTTGGTTAAAAAAAAAGTGCTCCAACATTAGCAAAAAACGGGTTTTTCTTAGAGAAATTGTTATTACGCGCTTTTACTCACATCGAGTAGCCCACGGTTCGAACCTTCGGACGGCTGCACCAAATTTAGCCAAATAAACCTGACAGTCCGCGCTGACATCGGCTTCTAGCACAAATCGAAGAATCTTTTTTACGTGTGGCTGCACCATTTGATCAATAATATTCCTGATACTTTCCAACGTATTCTGTTGTGTCCTGGCATTTTGCTCCTGAGCCACTACCATGACGACAACACATGATAGTATTGCACCGTACCTAATCCAGGAATACTGCATATTTCTAGTCGTTTGCGCCAAAAGCCGACTAATTCAGTGATGGGCAGCTTTGTTTATCTAGATCCTGCACGAGCGGGGGCACCCTGTTGCCGTTGTTAGATCCAGTCAGAACGAGATTGGTTGTCACTTGAAAGCTAGCACTATTTTCAATAATCCGCTTTATGATTGTTACGCAGGGGGGTCGTTCCCTAAGCGTCTTAGTATGTAATATGGTCTATGTAATAAAGAAAAATTCGTCGTCGTAGGTCCCTTCCATTGACTGATAGAGACTGGTAAATTCTGGATTCCCTTTCCACCTGCGGGCCAGATAGGGATATCGATCTCTCCGTACTACCGTTGTCTGTCCGCCTCGAAGCTGATGTCAACGAGCGGCAAGAAACGCGCGGCAATTGCGCGGTAATCGGCCGCGATCGGGCTGGCAAGTAATAGATGGAGCGACCAAGGAACAAGGTGTCGAGACAGGGAGAAGGAGATACGATCGATACAAATATCGCAGACACCAATATAGCACTAATTTTCACCTCGAGCATAAATGCTATGAACGGCATAGAAACGAGGCCATCGAACTTCGATCTTTTACGAAGTTGCCGGTGTATTCGCGAGGTGCTTTTATCAGTGAAAGTGTACGTTTGCGGGTAGAAAAATGTAGTATGAGTATGAATAATAATAGAAAAGCAAGATTACGAACATTAAGCCCGGCCGTTCATAGAGCATTCAAAGATGATTGTTGATTCTGTTTGGTACATTTACGCGTATCGCGCACTTTAAAATGCAATCCATCTGGTGGTGACTAATCTATAAGGCTTCGCAGATGTTCGTTATTAGCAAAGGTTCGGCAGCGATCCGCCTAACCCGTTTCAGCACTTCATAAAAATGGCCTACTTAACCCAGTAGCATACGCCATACCCGCCCCATATTGACAATGGCTAAAAGTAGCTATTCATACAATTAGGAACGAGAATTAATTATTCTGAACGTCCTCTCCTTTGCCGCAGTGCAGCTCGTTTACTTAGCTCTTGTAAATATACTAGAAAAAAAAAATCAGCTTTTCCTTGACGATAGCAGAAGCGTATTGTCGACAGATGTATTAGGAACTCAGAATTTCACACTGGGTAAAAACTTCATGAAGACAATCAACCTGCTATATAATGGCTTACCTTGTCTTGCTTAGTTGAAATTTACCGTCCCTAGCTAGCAGGTATCGTGCAAGCGTTAGGTGCTTTCTCTATATGCTAATGGTTTCACTCACGAACGACAGTCGCGTCTGGATGACGTAAGTAATCCACACTGTCGTTGAATGAGGAGTATTCCTAAGGCTTCCCGCCGCGGCAAAGGCTATCGGACCTATATAAAGAAAATGTCAAATTTGAATGTTTTTTTGGTCGTTATATGTTCAAGCTGATCGGCCCCAGCTGTCGATTCTGGACATTTTCGTTAGTCTGTTATTAGAAAATAAATTGCATTACGAGAAAACGACAAATTTCTATTCAAATGTATTGTTCTAGCCGATTTTTTTTAGTTGATCTCTAACACACCATAACGAGGTTGGCTGGTAGAGCACTGTTTACTAAGTAGAGATACGAATCGTGAGTTCTACTTCAACTTTAGCTAGAGGATAACATGTAATTAAACAAGCTGCCTTTGTGCAGGCCTTAAGCTGACTTCCACTAATACTTGTTGGACCGCATGTAATCATCTAACACATACCTGTCATATATATATATATTATGGAAGACAGATGTCAACTACCAATAGAAGATAGGTATTAATTCCGGATGTATTTTTTGCTTCATGCAGCTAAAAATACATTTTTATCTCGTCTTCAATTAGGAAATACCATCTCATTGGTCGTTCCCTGTAGAAGGCATGCAGGTGCAAGTACCGAATATCTATCATATGCTATTCTACAGCATAAACACGAAAAATTATCTGCGGCTTGTTGATGTGGTCCGAATAAACTGCGGGTAGTACGGCCGGCTTCCTGTCATTTGCCCAATTCTCATGATTAGAACAGCATTTTCTGTTAGACGTGTATCATACCAATCTGTTTATAGCTATGAGATACTGATCTTATCGATCGCCACCGCTGCCGTATATCGGTAGCCGCTGAAGTGGATAGACAGTGGAAGCAGTCTCATTCTATTACATAACACTGTGGTGCGGAATGCCGTTAGATCGGAAAGAAATTGATAGTTCCTTATGTGTTATACCACTAGAAACGAGACGCCGAGTTTCAATTTATGACGTGATTCAGTATGTTACGTACTCAACCCAACAGAAACATTTCTCTTCAGTGATACGAGTTTGTCATCATCTTCGCTTTGCTTAGAAAAGCCTCACGGCCAACCTGAAAAGCATACTGCGTTAATGTTGTAGGGTAAAATTTTGGCACGGATTCTAGAAACCTGGAAATCTGAAAGAGCCGAGGACGCCCAACGATAGGAATCGATTCTAAATCGGATTCCACATGGTAGAAACGTAACAAAGCACTCAGTTAGCCCCACATGGCAGCGTATGAAGCATTACAACATCTGGTTCCAAAAAAACATGCTGCTTATTATATTATATGATAATTACTTGAGCCGCCATAAACTCCATCCTGTCCATTAGTTTGTTGACTACATGCCGGGAACGTCACATGTTGTCACCTTTCGAAGAGCTACGTGATGACAACTACGCCGTGGGAAATTCGCCAAAATGGCCCCTCTGAAGGCTACTTATGGCTGAATCAGGAACGCTAAAGAAAGAATCTAGTGAAATTATATGGTCATCATTGCTTTTTTTGATATAGAATTGTTTGTACCATCGGGTTTTTTTTTTTTTTTATCGAACAGTACACAGATTATGCGCTTTACTATATTTCTTACCCACAAATGTAGCCTTCATTTAGAAAAGTCCCAGCAAATGGTCTAATATAAAGACGCTCGAGAAGTCGCACAGGTTTATGTTTGATGTTCACCGGTGGTAACATAACGACTCTGTACCCCCCTTTCTTAATGGCGCTATTCTCAGATCAACACTGACTAGGCACTCAACTTTAATAAGAGTTTCTAACAATCGTAAGAGAATACCATATTTTGGGTAGATTCTCATGGACGACGGCGGAATTGTAAATAACGATGAATATTTCGGATCCTTAATCAATGCCCGCCTTTTCATAAGAACAAATAATTCTTACCCGAAAGATGTTTCATTTAGGAGACTATGGATCGTCCGCTTCGATCTCTTGTATATTCTGTAAATGAGTATCTGTAATTGACCCACATAGTGGAGTAGTAAAAATTTGAAAGTTTAAATATGCTACAGGCACGCAAACAGGCTAGGTATTCTTATCTGCAGCTGTTAAACGTATGATATATGTCTAAAGCTACATTTTTTTTTACAAATACTCGTTTTGTAGGACTAATAGCAATTGACTTATACGCCAACCTATTCCAAAGAAAAGTCCTTTCACTTGGTGATCCGTTTATACTTGCTCCATGTTATTTGATAATTGCTTTAGCACTGGAACTTAAAGATTGATCTTTTTTTCCCATCTTCTGAACAATTTTATTTTTCTTTTTCTTGCGTGCATATTCATTGTGTGTTAGATGCTGATGTTTGATCATCGTGACCCATTAATGTTTTGTTGTTGAGTCTAATTATCAATTAAACATTATCATTAGAGAATGTAGAATTAGCGTATCTTCTTTAGTTCACAGTGTAATTGTAGTGAGGAGCACTTAATTATATTTGTGAGATGTTCTGCGTTCTCACTGTCTCTGTGAATGTATCTGCGTGAGTGTGCGGTCATCTTCATTATATTCGCATGAGCCTGCCATCGGAGTCACAACATGACCACTAATCCTCGATGCCCACTGTTCCCTTTTTGACATCTTCCACGGACATGCCTGTTGTCTCGATCACGATGATATCTAAGAGAGGTCCTAGCGTAGTGTAGGACCTATGAGAAGCTGAAGCTTCTAGAGGGGCTACCAACGACCGCTTCTTTGACCAGCTGAAGAGAGCAATTGTCACAAAATCAATGCAGTTGCAGTGATACTGAAGCCGCAAAAGGGTTGGATATACAACTAATTCCTGTGTTATAAGGTGCCGTCGTGCCTTAGACACGTCGCAGTAGGGGCAAACCAGCCGGGTTAGTGCTATGGATTAAATGAGATCAACCGGGGGTTGCTGGAGAATAGGCGGATCCTATGCGCGCGGGAGCTATACGCTGAACGCGAATAGACTCAGCTTACGAAGACTGTGATGCCAGAGAACGAAATATTCTGGACATTGTGGTCAACCTAGCTTTATTGCGCAACTCTTGCTTTGTAGAAAAAAGACATATTCTAATTTCGGGAATTAACAAAATATTGATTAGTTTTGAAAAATTGCCGAAACGTTGTCCGCTCACGTATAAAGGCTCATGGTTGATTTCTATTTAGGGGTCCCTGTTGAACTATACACCGTTGTCGTGACTTTTTGGTGATATGGAAATAATGGCATCCTACAGGACGGCGTACGACAACTAAGATATAAACGTTACCAACTCTACAATGTCGGCAATACCATAGAGACAGAAGAATGGTATTAAGTATTGAGCTTGCGCAAAACCTCACTCCATTTTCGTGCTGTAGTATTTTTAAAATCAACCGCGGGTCATCATCCGATTCAAACTAATGTGCAAAGCGTGAAAAGACACGTATGCTTCGATTCTAAACTGATTTCTTGCTCATTCCAATTACAAGTAACTAAAAAAACATAATTTTTTGATAAATCAAGATAAAGTTTTTAACAGTTTAGAAAGATACTGGTGTAAATTATAGGAACACCAACCCTTGCCATGGATTGTATACACATAATCGAAACATCGGTCGAAGAACATTGTCTTTTTAGCCGTGGGCTAAAACACCCTTGAATGGAACTTCGTCAAACTATATAAGAAACTGGACAGCACTGCTCTTTTTAACAACTTGGAAAAAAATATATGACGCACTTCAATGAAACGTGAATCGATTTAGAAAATCACTGAAGGTACTAATAAATGAAGCGTTCGAAGATGTTTGCATTTGCCCGCTCAGACTTCGCGTTTGAGGGGTGTGCATGGCAGGTAAGCTGGCTTTTCCCAGAAAGGTTAGGAATTCAAGGTTCCTTCCGGAGCACCCAGGTGGCGCTGTTAGATGCTTGTTTTTGCTTCGCAACTGCCTAGCCTGAAGCTATATCAGAACGCAATAGTCACTAAGGTTCCAGATCTGGCAGGTTGAACTTCTCAGTAAGATCTTCAGTTGATCTTCGGGCTATACAAAATCATATTCGTTCTATAAAAGTAAGCCATAAATACACCTGAAACCTAAATCTCGCGTAAATTTTCAAGGAATGTCGTCGTGTTATCGTAACCTGACTGTAGGAGAATTAGTCTTGATAAACCAGGACAACAAGCCTGCGTATGCTCTCAAATTGCACAATTTAAAAAATAACATTTTAGAAAACATGATATGACAACATTTTAGCACATTGTGTAGGAAAACAGATAAAAAAAGATAAACGTAAAAAGTTCATCTTGCGGTTTTGAAACAATGTGGCTATTGTCGCCAAGGTTCATCCACATATTTTATTTACATAAATAGGACATATAGTAATAATAGGGAGAATTATGAAATAAGAAGAACGTATTGTTATCCCTTTGCGTACCATAGACAGAGGCCATTAGGAAACGAATCAAAAAATAAGCTGTCGATGTTTTATGTCAACGTCACTTGGACTTTTCCGTTCTAATATTCGAGTGGAGAACAGTTGCGTCTGCCAAATACGTGTAGGGCTCCGTTGACAGTCGGCACTAAGCAGCGTATCCTAATTTCGGATCGCGCCAACTTTCACCATTCGAACAATACGTTAGCGGCTTTTTCCTTAAAAACCTTCTTCTGCCTACTGCGATTTAAGCCACGTAATGACAATTGTACGCGCCTTCGATAAGCTTACCTAACTACAGGAACAGTTATTTCGAACTTATCTAAATCGGTTTCTGTTTGTCGTTCTTACAAGAAAGAAAGGTACCATAGCTTGTGGGGGATATCGGTGTTGAAGAGAAATCAAGACTGGTATAATTTTTCTACATAACTATACGATCCCTACGGTCCGAAGTAAAGAAAATAGAGCAGGCAAATAGTACGCTTCGATTACAAGACCGAACCCGGTGCGGGTATAATAATTGCGAAAATTTTGTGGAAGCAGTTCGCTTGTTCTATATACGTGTAGGTACGTATTTGAAGTAGTTCTCAGGTAATTCTAGGAACAATTAGATGGCCGTTCTTTTTTATTAAGTGGCTGTAGTCGCTTCTACAAAAACGAGATGTCAAAAGCTTAAATACAATATCGTAAAATCAGCCTTTTAGGTTCAATCAAAGCGAAATAGTTAATTGTACAGCTCAAGAAAAATGCATCTACACGTGAATTGGTACCTGTCTTAAGGGCAAATTTACTCCCTCTTTTCACACGAGAAGCTTATTCGTTCATATTAAAAGAAATAGGTTATAGGCCTACTTTGATCGTTCATCTTATAATGAAAGATTAAATAAATGTTAGAATATTGTCGATGTAGCGTTTGCTAATAAGAAAAACATCTACTATAGGACATAACGAAGTTACATTATAAAACATAATTATTTCTCTCGTTTAAACCTGTAGGTATCTCCCGTGTTTTAATTCGAATCTCACCACGAAAATATAAACAGGCATGTAGGCTATCAAATAATAGGTAATTGAGCTCTTCATTAATTAAAAAGATGCCATCAAAATTGAAAAAAGACAGTAAAAACTGTCCTAAATTTTATGCTTCTCAGCAGAAATGCAATTGCATCTAATTTACTGCAGGTCTTATGAAGAAGTACGCAGTTAGCGCTTGTCCAACTACCGCTAGGCTAAATGTATTTGTTCTATTTAGGCAATTATGATAAACGTAAATGTACCATTCCAATATTCCTCGTTAACCGCCAGAACAGGCTCAGCATAGAGATTCAAGATCAAGTGGACAAGATAATTTTTTTAAAAAAATCGGATCACGGACATTCAAGACCCCTTTTATTGTTTTTTCAACGGCTTAATTAGTTACGATACAGAGTTATGATGATATACTCGTGAGACGCTAAACTTGCTAGGAGGCGTTCATATCTAACTTGGATCTAATTACGGCAAAGATACAGGCAAGACTAGAGTGCCATTACTTACGACAATATGTTGTTCCCTAGAGATATTATACATTAAAAAGCCCATACGTGGTAGTTTATCTACTTGCAGCACAAGGTATTAAGGTATAACATTGCCAATTGAAACGAACTCATATTTGCGTGCATCCAACGATATCTGTCTGCTGTTTACGCTCAGTCTACTGATTAGAATTTAAAAACATTTTCTAACAGTATTTTTTCACAGATACGTACATTCGTGAATGGCTATCTATACCTAGTATTTTTTGAAGCATCTAATCACTGTGTGTTAAAGAGGCCAGGTTAGTTGTTAGCGTTAAATACCGTCTGCATATATAAACCTCGATTTAAATAATGCCAAACATTTACGTAGAGACCTTGGTAAGGGAATTGGTCAAATCGTTTAGTTAATGACGCCCGAGAACCCTGTTTGGTTCCCGAGCATCGGAGATCCTCGCAATGCTTTTGTTTATCTTTTTATTCAACACTTTATTAAAAATCTGAATCTGACCAGCTAGTCGGGTACTGGTCAGTACTTAATCAACGACCTTTGTCATCTCTTCACTGAATCAGTCTGTCTTAATAAGCTGACGTCTTTCCTTCTTTGCCTACGCAAAACAGTACATTAGCAACGCCCATCTGCCTTTTCTCGCTAACTCTTCTGTACCATATGGTATAGCCTGATAGTATAATACTAGTCTTCGATTTGTTGGGTACGAGTAAGCAAGTGACATTCTGGCGCGAACGGTCTAAGAAACAGCCAGCTGCAGTTCCCGTTGTTCCCTTGTCGCCCTCGGGTTCAAAGCGTTATGAGTACGTATGTCTTTATCTATGTCTTTTCTCTCTAGCCAGCTATCCATTCATTCATTCATCCATCCATCCATCCATCCAATCAGCAAGTCAGTTCTACTTCGTCGTCTGCCTGCCTGCCTGCCTGCCAAATTCAAGTTGAGCTCACAGCAGCTTCCCTTCCTGATGATCTATGTAAGCTTTCATGTAAACCCCCAACGCGGCGTGCGCCGCTGTTCCTCTCACTCTTGCAAGCTGTTGCACTCTGCACTTCTTTGTTACGATGGCAATCTCCATTCGCCCCTGCTGCATAAATTCGTATTGTAAGTCCCTCCCTAGTGATGCTTGCTGTGCGCTGCAGTTGCGAGACAGCGCATCGGTGGTCTCGATCCCGGGTAACTTACACTCAGCATCGAACCAAAAGAGCTTTTTCTTTCAAAGCACACTCTTACAGATGCAGGACAATGTTGCTGCGACGTCGCCACGCTTTAGACGGCTGCTGTACTGGCTTCTATTCGTGCTGTTTCGTCTGTTGCTGTTACCCCCGCTGACGCGGCTACTGCTGGGGGCAGTTCGCCGATTGGCGACGGGGAGCGCTGAAAGTGGGAATCACAAAGAGTCTCCCTCACACTTGAGTAGAACGATCTTTGGGGAGACTGCTAACCGACAAGCAGCAACATATCGATAGAGTACCATTTTTTCTAACTAGCAGAAGAAATTCAATGAAGCTGCGCGTCGTAGCGGCATATGAAATACTTAGATGATCAAACACCACTATAGTCACGAACGATATCTAGGTGCTCGCCCTGCCATCTCTATAATGCGTAGCTCTGCGTAAGGAAACACCGATTGACGTGGTTAGCTCATACAGAGTGGATAGAGACGGTGCATTGATAACCATGACTATTAGCTAAGATGTAGTAGAGAACTAAGTATATGCTAATTATATTCTGAGACATAAAGAATATGTGTTCAGTTAAATAAGTATTTATAAAATACTTCGTCGTTATTTCTGCATTGACGCGTGGCGCCACTAAATAATAACTACGACAGATGGTTCATGAATAATCAAACATTTAACGTCTGTAATCTTCTAGGTTAGATTCGTATCCTCTCGCCTAATTTACTAGTGAACAAACGCAAAATCGGAATCTTCATTAATACTCTCTCTCTCTCTCTCTCTCTCTCTCTCTCTCTCTCTCTCCCTCTGCTGTCTCTCGATGCGCGAATGTGTACCTGTGAGATGTTAAATGAAAAACACAAAATATTGATTTGTTATATTAAACATGTATATTTATTATTATCTGTATACAGCTAAGCGTTTTTATAAAGTCCGGCCACCTTCTGAAAGACGCTATTGATATGTGTTGGAGATCTCTGTCTTACTCATGATCCAGTTCAGGCATTCTGTACCAGCGCAATTTGCACAGTCCTTGTTCGTCAAAAGCTGATGTCATCAAGCGTAAGAATAACTGATAAACGATTACTTCGCGAGAGAAACATAGATGGGATACGCAAGCCTCAGGGAAAACGAATGGATACGAACACAGAAATACGTACGTAAACACGAAAAATCTCAAAATAACAAACACGAACTAAAACAGATTTTGTTTCGCTTCAGTATTTTCACCTCACTGACAACACTTCCTATTTGAAAACCTACTTTCGAAAGGATTATGGGGAAGGGACTTACAATGAACATTATAGGTCGGCAGGCTTCATTACCTTCTTTTCGTATATCTCGTCAAATGTCAAGGGTCTTTACTGTCTTTCTGTTCACGGCTTATCCTGCTTATTGACTTGACCATTTCCCGTAATTCTCTACTGGACAAGTATCGCAATTTTATCTCGCGTTAACAGCCCTTGCCGTTGCACCCCTGCGTATTGACCGTTAGCTGGCACCGGCACCCAGACTGAGACTACGAATGCCAGAATCATTCATTTTACTTTTAGTTACATGTAGTTAGTTAGGTTTTTTTTTTTAACTTTTATTATTATTACTATTCTTCTTATCACGATCATCGTCATCGTAAGTGTTATCTTTAGATTGGTGTCGATCTTCACTTTAGTTTTTTAATATTGTGTTGTTGTAACTGATGAGCTTGGTTTTCGCCATATCTGAGATGATTACTAATGCTGTTTAGATTTATATTAATATAGTCAGTATCAGCATATTATTGTGCATTCGTATTCTAATTCGTTTATATTGTTATAGTATTATTAGCATCATAATGTTTTTTTTTTTTTGTACAGTTTATATTTACAAATGTACGGGTCACGTTCATTGATCGTAACGGCAAGTGGGCGCAAGCCATTCCAGAGACCGATCGCTTAATCCATTTGGCCGTTACGTTGCCATTCTGTGATGCTATTACACTCGAATATGCGTTTCGATGCCTTACGTGCTTACTCTTGCTCTCAAAAACGGCACAACTCTACGCAGCATAATCTCTAGGTCCCGAAAGATTCGTTTTAAACGTTTAGCGGCGTCAGCCACAACCGCACGCTCGCTTATCCCAAACGTCGTTTCCCTCTCCCTGAACTCTTCGGCGTGCTTTGCCTCACGCGTTAAGTGCTTATAAATTGGGCTATCCGAAGAATGAGAGATTGTTTGAATAAAAGCTGGGAGGCCGTGGCATTGCGAATAAAAAAAGCTAAATCATGATATAAAAGTTCAACGACTGCGTCCCGGCGCCTATGGTCGTCCACCGACGACAACAGGAGCTTTAAGATTAATGGAACTATAATTAATGGAGCAACGCTGCTGAATGTAGAAAACAACATTGCTGCCGTTGCAGGCTTTAAAAATGGGCCAACGCCTCCTCACTGCAACTGAAGGCTCTGTCAACCCATGAAAGCTCGGAGCTGTGGCATAATAAAAATACGCAAAATGGCATGATAGCTGGCTGTATGCGACCCTATGTATGTGAGTGTACGGATGTCTACACACACGCAGGCTGTAGCTTTTCCGGTTTCTTTACACTTGATAGGCGTCTCCTCGATGTTTTTGGTGAAAACGTCGCTTACAGGTGGGATCAAATGCCACTGCTTTCCTCTATCTCTTCATCTGTCGTCGGCGCCAGCCTTTCAGACGACACGACAGGGACGGTCTTTCGACAGAAATAGCGAAGTTGACGGTAGGATCGTTCATTTATTTCAATATTTACATAAACGAGATTCGCACGCCGGCCATGGAAAGCCAACAAGTCGATAGTAGCCGGCCAGCCAGACAAACGGTGACTGAGGTCTAAATCAAAGTATGCAATGACGTGTAGTCGTAGCATTTTTCCACGAGACTACAACAAGCCATGTACGGTACACATAGTAATAGCTAATCGGAAAAGCCTGTTGTTCTTATTTCTGGACCATGCCAGAATTACGTTCTAAGGGAAAACGAGTAGCGCTTTGAGGGTGACAGTCCGTCGATTTGTCAACGATATGATGTCATAGTACAGCCCACGTAAGAAACCATAGCAACATGAAGTGAAGATAGCTACAGCCATTAGGTAGCTGAACGATTTAGGCATTCTGCACTCGCAGTTGATCCTCGCCAGGAGAGGCTGCCGAGTTAAAGTAGGAACTCTGCATCGAGTACAGCCGATCGATTGGGTTCAACGGGTTGATGGTATTGAGAGCATTGCCGTGCAGACTCCCGGTGAATGAGCGTGCTAACAGAGCGGCGGCCTCGTCATCGCCGCCTGTTGGACATCTGCAAACGGAGGAAGTCTGTTCGTCAGTCAGATAAACCTTCAACCAACAGAAACTGCACAACGCTAAACACTGTCGTTTAAGCAGTACCCGTCGCACAGTGCGTATCTGTCAAGTAATAATAATAATAATAAATTAATGCAATGCACAACAGACGCGGTACACGACACGATAGAAAAAGAAAACAAGCCTTATTTATTATTTATCTCTTTATTTCTGGATTAATTACCTAGAGCTATCCCTGACTAACCTACCCCTGTCGGGTGGTCCTCTGAGCGGATCCGATGAGGACGTCCTCGAGCCCGCCAAGACTGGACTCGGAGTCTGCTCCAATTTCCGTCTTCATAAACGCCTGTTCTGATTGTGCATAGAATGGCATACTATGTGGACTATCGTAGGGTAAGCCGCCGACAGTGCTAGGGACTATGTTGTACGAGGGGGACCCTCCCGCACTGTCGAGTTCATGCAGCGCGAGGCGGTACGGTGACGAGCCGACGAGATCTGGTGAGGCAGACTGCCTTCCGTCCTCTGAGCGCCTACAGGAGTCTCTCGTGGACGAGGCTATCTCGGACTCGGAAGAGTCACCGCAGTTACTCTGTGCCGTCCGCGCTACCGTGCCGGAGCCGCCGTTCCGCTGCTGTTGTTGTTGTTTACGCTGGATCTTTTTGAGCTTGGCCCGCTGGTTTTGAAACCACACCTGAACGATACGTACGCTCAGACCTGTCTCCTTCGCCAATGCCTCGCGGACCTTCCTGCAGGGCTTTTGACTGATCTCGAACGATGCCTTGAAGGCTCTCCTCTGTGCCGTCGTTAGCATCGTTCGAGGACGCTTGGGCCCCCTTCGTCCGTCAGGCCTCTGCGCCCCGGGAGCCCCTACGGCTCCCACGCCGCCCCCCGCGACCGTCACACCAGTCGGTACTGTGCCAGGTCCAGTTAGCGTGCCTGGTAGCAACGTCTGTCCAGTTACCGAAACTCCATTGACGGGAACTACAGCGGCCTCAACGTTGCCTATTACGAACGAGAAGGTCGATGCTTACGCTGTTAGTTAATAGTCGTTCACGTATGTCATAGCCGCTATAGCGTTTACTCACGTCAAAACTGATTGGATTTCACCAACGAACGGTTAGACCTACAGGATGAAAACGAATGGGGATTTACTTCCATAATGTCCCAGATTCGTTGATATAGCGAGACAATCCTACAAACGACGAACATCGATAACAACCGACAATTTTAGGAGACTTGTTGAAAAACACCATGTTTTTTTATCTGGAGAGAGATAATTTTCGCAGAGAAAATTAAAAAAACTTAATTGTACAGTATATGGTACTTATATTTTAGGTTGTTTTATTAGAATTTAATAATGTATAGAACATTCTCTTCATTGGAGTCAGAAATTAGCATACCACGTAGCTGTTGTAGGAGATGTATTTCTTTCTCAAAGTCCTGTCGACAATAAAGCCTCCCACTGCGCAAGACATACTCATCTCCTCGTTGCAGTTGACGCCCGCATGTACAACATAAAAAACACGAAAGGTGGTACACTTGCTCCAACGCCTTCATTACGAGTTCAGCTGGAGCAATCGAACCTGTACATGCTGCACACTTTGCTCCAAATAATCTGCAATATATGTATACAACACATTTAGTTATACAATTAAAACTTGTAAGAATTCATTGAGATATAGGATAGTTTCTTTTTCTTATAATGAGCAAGTAACGAGGTGTACATATACAGGGTGGGTGCACAGCTGTAGACTGCATGATCAAGACCCTAAACAATTTCTACATTTTATATCCCACCCGTAAAGCTTTGCGTTCCAAATTTAAGTAGTAATAACCAGTAAAAAGTTTTTCTGCCTGTAGATCACTAAAAGCAAAAGCGTGAACTTATTCATCAGCGTTACACAGCTATATCTGTGCTAAACTACCTTTGTACAATAGATTAACAGTTTATTATCATAGAATAGTTTGGGTACCACCACGGCCTTTCTGTTACATGAGGTGATTGGTTTACCAGTTCAGCGCCGTACCTCACTTCCTTTTCTTTCCTTTAAGTGTAACATTACTACATTTGGGCAAAGAAATTTATGGTAACAATTGCCACGGCAGCAGTCTAAGTCCGCGTCCTTTTCTATGTCGTCCGTGTTTACCGATCTGTGCCTAGGCTTTAGTTCAGTTAGTGCTTCTTCCATTTGGCTACTAAGCCGCTCGGTTATTCGTTTCCCGAATTCGCTTTGTATAGGCTGTATTGGTCATCGAATTCAACTAATATGGTTCTTAACAACGGCGGGGCTCTCACCGATAGCGTACAGAGTTAGAAGGCATCTACCTTTTCGGCCCAACGGCCCCTGCTGGTCTTTCGACCTCATATGTAATAACACTAGTGCGCATAAACTAGCACACATTGGCGCAACCTCACATCGATGAGATGGCGCTTTCGTTCAGCTGTTGGCATAGAGACGAATTGAAGGTCTGGTGTTCCGATACCTTGGCAAAAATTAACCTTTTTCTCTTTAGGTACACCGCTGCCTCGGCCGGAGTTCTTCTTCTCGAAAATAGAAAAGAAGGTGAGAACTGGTCGATTAGTCGTTGTTTGCCATTGCCGCCTTCTTTTGAGCCTGCAAAGGTTTCCTGTGTTTTAGCAGAGCAGTACGTCTCGCAGACAGCTTAGCAGCATTGCGGATTCAGTATAGCAGCTCAGCTTTGTAATACAACTATCTAGCTGGATGTGTCTAAATCTAAGGCTACGAGATATTTCTACAGAGCTTTTATACCATTAACAGCATAGATAGGTAGGCCCTACCTACGGCCAATGGTTCGTGGCCACGGATGCATCCGTCTGACTGGACGGGCTAGATGGTCATCGACGACCGAAACCGAGTTGCTAGGCAAGCAGGAACCGGCGAGCAGCAAGGCAAAGCTAGCATTGGAAAGGGACGATAGCCAAAGAACGATGTCGGGCCAAGGAGTCAACAGCAATAAGATGTTCCCCGCAGGCTGTTTGTTCCGCACACAGGACAACAACCAGAGTCATCGCGTCCTTGCACCCCTTTCCTACCCCCTGAAGCCACACACGCACGATGAGACAAGCTCATCGACAGACAGGCAGATTCGCAAGCTCATTCGCTTGTCCTGTCACAGAGCAACGTACACATGAAACGAAGGAGCTATGTACACTCTTCTGGGCACTTTGTAGCAATGGTCCGAGTCGTTATTGTCACCTCCTCGATCGTTGTAGTCCAGCAACGGTGAAGCAACAGCACGAATAAGAGCAGGAAGCGAGCTGCTCCAGCCGATGGTCCGCTTGCAGATGGTAATATCGTATTCTGCCTACAAGGTCCTGTCTTCTGAACGTTTGCCGTTCTTTAAACTGCATGCACTGGCATATAACTGCAATACGGTGCGGTTACCATTGCATGTAACGCAGACTGCCACTATCTGAATGAAGTGGTATACTGGATTGAGTGAATAATTTCCAACTGACCACAGATAAGGGCGAGCCATGGGTGGAACTTGAAAACACTCGTGTTGCAGAGCGTTTTTATATCGCCGCTGGACGACGGAATGGATGCTGTGTGCTTATGGACGATCCACGCACCCATCGTGTGAGAGAGAATGCCCATATTGAGTGAAGAAAGGTATGACCAAAGCACCAGTTGCCACTAGCGTCTACACCAGTGATGAGTTGTCGCCGAGTTTGTCGTTCGGAAAGAAATCCAAATGAACTCTCTATTTGAAGTGGGGCTGAAGATTGAGAGGTACCAAGCAAAACGCACGGTTTAGTGCATAGCACTAGCCCGTACTTGTTATTGGTTTCCCACTACATCTGTCTTTATAATCTTCCTATCCACATCCTTCGTCCTTTTTCTCTCGCTGCTTCACAGGCTGTTTTCGTCTTTTCTCTCGCTTTGGCTCTCCCTTTTCGTCTCCTTTAACAAACACTGGCACAAGCAGTCACGCGTACACATACACACACGTAAACAGAAACACACGGTCACAGACAAACAAAGCACTAGAAAAGCGTCCGATAGTCACTTCTACCTTTTCAGCACAAGGGACGAAGGAAATGTGCGCGCTAAGTCATGTGAAGCAGCCCTAGTTCCTCATTCGACCAGGCGAGCTACTAATACGGAACCGAGTTATCTGTTAGGAGAGAATAAGTCAGTGCGTTGGTGGCTAAAAGAACTGGGAAGTGCCCAGCGGAATGGATGAAGACGAATAAAGGATCGAGGGAAAAATAGAGGCCATAGTGAAATAGTGGATCAGCGGTAGACAGGGAAAAAGTATGACGATAAGCTGTGTGCAATCACTTTCACTTTTGTTCGGCCTGTCTCAGTAGCCTAAGGTACAAATCAGGACGGACCCATTTGCTGTTTCGGAGCTAACGCGTGCAAGGCTTAATATGAGCACCCAACAGAGCTAACATGAGTAAAGGGGGGCGTTCGTGCAGACAAACGGTACTGCTCCACAGCACGAGGCATAACACGGGGGAGTACATACGAGTATTGATTGCTGAGCTGCTATTACTAGATGCAGCAGCAGACTTGGCTGCTACAATGAAACTATCTACGAACAGCAATGGCCGGTGCACAGTGTGCGTGATGACTACGCTAAATGCCGCTTAGTCGGAAAGCTACCTGTCGCATTTCAACGCCAAACATTAACACTTCGCAGATTGCGATTGAACTTGACTCTGCCTTCTGGTGAATGGTATAGGACTACATAAACATGTTAAATGTGTGTCAAAATAATAAGATAATTGCTGGTATTTATCTACTGGTATGACATGCGCAGGTCATGTATTGATAACATTCGACGGATGTATACCAACATGTGAATTCCGATTAGACCAAAGCAATCCACCAATAAACACTATGTAAAAGCTACAAGAAATGCTCAACGAGCCGCATGAATGTTGAAAGTGTCAGATTTTCACACGCATGACGAGATATGGACAATAGACTAAGTCAGAAAATATTGATGGGTTACCTGTATATCGATCACATACGGTTACGTTCCTTTAACAACGGAATGTATTGATCGAATTTAAGGTTACCTATACAAGAATAAGTAAATAAAATAATGTATAAAAAGCTAGTTCAACCGGCGGTCCCCCCAACGGTATGTAGATATCGGTCACGCCGAGTAACTTACTCCTTAAGCCTTCAAGTTATTAAATTAAATTATGTCTTAAATCAGGCCGGAATCGAAACTATATACAGATCTATTATTTAAAATACGCTATTTTACGAGTTGTAATAGTTGTCCGTCGGCTTAGCAACACTGTAATGAAAAAAACATCTCTCACGTAGAGTGCACACTTCCGTCTGTGCAAGATAACCTCATATCATAAAAACGCAGCTGCCATAAAGCTACGTTTATATATATATATATATATATATACTTATGGGTATCGTTACAATTAAATATCTCCCTCATGTTCATAGGTTTTGTGCCGATAGCCCAAGCCATAAAACCGTTCCGGCAACAACTAAAAGTGTACTACTACGTTACAGTTCGTAGTGTATTCGGCTTTCTACATTAGCCAACGCATTTGGTGGCGATCACAGACATGTCGTCTCATTGTGTTCCGTTCCGATGTGTTTTTCTCGGTTGTTTTCGACGGTTTTTTGGCTTTTCCGTACCCATTTCCTGATTTCGGCTGCATACTCGCCATCATCTCACCACGTTTCCAGGGGGGACCAGCTCACATTTTTTTAACATTTCATCAGGCATCTCCGTGGACAGCTTTCAGTTTTCAGTTTGAAGCCTCTGTCTGTGCTCAGCCACTTACACGGTCGCCGACGTCGCTGTCGTCGTGCCTGTTCTTCACGGCGAGAAGCTTTTTGTGCTTCTCGCACCGCAGCCCACCGCACGCCGCTTAACCCCCGCCAATTCTGACGTTCGCGGCAGCAGCAGGCCTTCCTTGGTGTGCCTTTTTTTAGATATGCTTCTCTAGTAGCGCGCGCTCCAGATCCATGGTAGCCCCCTCACTAGCGCGACCAGCAACTCTCCTTCCCGGTGGTTCTACTCAACCTCCTCCATGTAGCTCGAGATCGTTCAGCGAGCGGGTCGAGCCGGCCACCGATCGACCGACGAAGTGGCCCTCTTCCGCGTTGGCGTTTTCGTTTCTCCGTCATCTTCGTATTTCCACTATTTCCTCTTCTCAGATGAAGAAAAAGAGAACGAGAGGAAAATAAAGAGGAAGGGGAAGGGGAAAAGAGCTAACAGAAGACGGGTGGAGCAAGCGGAGCTTAAGGAGCGTAAACGTAAAGCTGCGAGCTTTCGAAGTTGGTTCTGCCTTCTGACCTGCCTGCCTCCATCCCTCCCCTCTACCCTAGCCGGCTGGCTCGGCTGTAACCTACTGCGAAAATCCAATATCGTGCCGCCCTGGCGCTGCCACTCCTTTTCTTCTCACGACTGCCTCTACTGAAGCCAGCACCCACCACCGCCAAACCTGCAGCTTTTCTTTAGGCTTCAGCCCCTCAAGTCAAGGCGCATCCCCTACTCCTATATCACCGCTACTGCTCCACAGAGGAGTGAATGGGAAGCTTCAGTTGCTTCTCGACCTCGTCTGAGCCTTTGCGCCAGCGCGGTCCCCCAGAGCAACGTTTCCTG